ATTAGGTCTTCTTCCTATTTCTTGTAGAATTCTGCAGTGAATCCGTCTGGGCCTGGGCTCTTCTTTGTAGGTAAGGACTTAATTACATTTTCAATTTCTTTAATAGCAATTGGGTTATTCAGCAGTTTTACATCCTCTTGACCTAGCTTTGGTACTTCATATGTTTCTAGGAATCTATTTCTTGTTATCAAACCTTTTAGAGTAGAGGTTTTCAAAATAGGTGTTGATGATCTTCTGTATTTCTATAGAGTCTGTAGTGATTTCACCTTTTTCATTTCTTATTGCATGAATTCGAGCATTTTCTTCCCTTTTTTAAATAAGGTTGGCTAGGGGCTTATCAATTATATTTATTCTTTCAAAGAACCAACTCTTTGATTCATTGATTCTTTGGATTATTTTCTTAGTCTCTATTGCTTTGATTTCTGCTCTGATTTTTATAATTTCCTCTCTTCTTTTGGCTTTGGGCTTGACTTGCTCTTTTTTTCTAGCTGTTTGAGGCATAGCATCAGGTTATTTATTTGTATTCATTCTGTTTTTCTGATGAGGGAACTCAATGCAATATATTTTCCTCTGAGGAGGGCTTTCATTGCATCCCACAGATTCCAGTAAGTTGTATCAGTATTTTCATTTTCTTGTAGGTATTGTTTAATTTTTTCTTTAAGTTCCCTTGTGATCCACTGATTACTGAAGAGTGTGTTATTCAGTTTCCATGTGTTTGTGGGATTTTTGCAGTATCTTTTATCATTAATTTCTAATTGCAAAGCACTATGATCCAATAACATGCAAGGAATAATTTCAACTCTTTTGCATTTATTTAAATATGTTCTATGAGCTAATATATGGTCTATTTTAGAGAATGACCCATGTACTGCTGAGAAGAATGTGTATTCTGGTGTTGGATGGAACACTCTGTATATGTCTATCAAGTCCATTTGTTCACATGTGTGATTCAGTTCTATTATTTCTTTGTTGATGTTTTGTCTGGTTGATCTGTCCCTTGGTGTCAATGGTGTGTTAAGGTCTCCTGTTACAACTGTGTTACTGATAATCTGATTTTTCATTTCTGTTAATATTTGTTTTATATAACTGGGTGCTCTGGAATTTGGTGCATATATATTTAAGATATTTATCTCTTCCTATTGAAGTTTTCCCCTAACAAGTATGTAGTGACCTTCTTTGTCTCTTCTGATCATTATTGGTTTAAAGTTCGCAATGTCTGCAAACAGAATGGATACTCCTGCTTTTTTTGGGGTTCCTGTTGCATGAAGTACCGTTTTTCCATCCTTTGACTTTCAGTCTGTGAGTATCCTTCTGGGTTAGATGGGTTTCTGGTAGACAGCATATGGTTGGATTTTGTTTCTTGATCCATTCTGCCAGTCTGTTTCTTTTAATTGGTGCATTGAGACCATTTAGATTAATGGTTATAACTGTTATATGTTGGTTTATTGTTGACATGTGATCTTTCTGCTATTGCATCTTTATCTTTCTGTTCTGTTTAATTATCTGCTTTGCTTAGTGGTTTTTTTCCTAATTGTATCTAAACTGTCTTTCAATATTTTTGCAGGGTTGGCTTGGTGATCATGAAGTTCTTCAGCTGTTCTTTGTCATGGAAGTATCTTATTTCACCATCGATTTTGAAGGACAGTTTTGCAGGGTCCATCAGTCTAGGTTGGAGATCATCTTCCTTTAGGATCTGGAATACTTCACTCCATGTTCTTCTTGACTTTATTGTTTGTGCTGAGAAGTCTGCTGTGATTCTGATAGGTTTTCTTTTATAAGTGATCTGTCTTTTCTCTCTGACAGCTTTTAATAATCTATTCTTGTGTTGGATTTCTGGGATGGTGATTATTGTATGTCTGGGTGTAGTTTTATTTTGGTTATGAATATTTGGAGTTCTATACGCTTCACTGAACCTGATGTCGGTTTCCAATCTCATGCTTGGGAAATTTTCAGCTATTACTTCTCTAAATATCCTCTTGACGTCCTTTATGTCATCCCCTTCTTTTTCATTAATCCCTATCAATCTTGTTGTTTTTCCTTGCATCATCTTGCAGTTGTTGAATTATTTCCTGATTCTTTGTTATTTTTAAAAGATCTTTCCTTTCCTGTTCACTAGCTGTAATCTTGTCTTCAAGGTCTGAAATTCTATCTTCACTTTCATTGAGGTGACTTTTACAGCTTTCAGTGGAGTTTTTGATTTCCTGTATATCTCTTTGCATCTGCTTTATGTATTTTGTTTGTTTCTTATATTGCTCATCTAGGGATTCTATCTTTTTGTTTAGTTCCTCCAATTTTTTTAACTGTGTTTTATTTAGATATGTTCAGCATCTCTTTCATTTCTTTTATCATGTCTTCTTTTAACTGGGAGATTATTTCTAGTTTGAATTCCTTTAAAGCTTCCCGGAGTCACTTGTTTATTTCAGTTGCTATTATGTCCGATATTTGAGGTATATGGCATATATTTTCTTTTATTTACATCGCTCCTAAGGTTTCTTCGGATGGGCTGGAGGTTTGAGATTGTAATTTGGTCTTTCATTTTGTCATTTTCCTGTATTTCTGTGTTTCAAGTGTTTCAAGTGTTATTTGAAAGCTTCCTCAGGGTCTGTTGGAAATCCACTTCTATGCTCTCAGCTCCTGGGACTCTCGTACCCAGTTCCCCCAGGCCACCCGGCCTCTGGAACCGGTGGCGCTCGCCTGCTTGCTTAGAACTCCACAGTCCTCCAAGCACACGGGAGGCGGATGCAGGTGCCCCAGACCCGCCTAGCTGTTCCAGTGCACCCAGAAGATGCAAGGATCCCAAATAAGCTGGGCTCTTGGGAAAAGTGGGCACCCGCCTACTTGCTTAGAACTTCACATTTCTCCAAGCACAGCCAGAACAGGGAGGCGGATGCAGGCGCCTCAGACCTGCTTAGCTGTTCCAGTACACCCGGAAGGCTTGAGGGTCCCAAACAAGGTGGGCTCAGGGGAAAGTGCATGGGGCACTTACCCCAGGACACCAGGCCTCTGGAACCAGTGGCGCTCGCCTGCTTGCTTAGAACTCCACAGTCCCAAACAAGCTGGGCTCCGGGGAAAGTGGGCTCCCACCTGCTTGCTTAGAACTCCACAGTTCTTCAAGCACAGCCGGAACAGGGAGGCGGATGCAGGCGCCTTAGACCCACCTAGCTGTTCCAGTGCACCTGGAAGGCTCGAGCAATATTCCCCATTTCAACTGGGCGTGGTAGCACATGCCTATAGTCCCAGCATTTGGGAGGCTGAAGCAGGAAGATCACCAAGAGTTTGAGGCCAGCTGGGGCTACACAGTGAGTTCAAGGCCAGCCTTGAATACAAAGTGAGACTCTGTCTTAAAACATTTTTTAAAAAAGCATTTCCCATATCTGTAAAGCCTCCAGACATAGTGATAAAAAGATTTTAGTATTTTCTAACTTACTATCACAATGAATGTTGTAAATTATAAAACATATAGATTAATATCATATAAAACTATATTAGGTACTAAATATTTCCAGTTTTTTGCAAGTGCCATTTTATAATCAATAATAATGATAAACCAAGCTTTTGTGTAAGAACTTTGCATGTGTTATTTCATTTACTCAACACTTTTTTTCACTAGTTAATGTTTACATACTGTCCTCTTACAAATAGTTGTTCAAGATACAAAAGTGCAACAAAAATAAATAAAGTGGGAATTCAAACAGCAAGACTGCAAACAGTTCTGTTCAATTATCCAATAAAAACTTAGTAACATGTTGTCAATACTGTACACTTAAACATACATGCAGTTATCCATATCTTCATTTATTTTGAGATTAAACAAACTAAAGCAGACTAAAATAATTCTGAACAAAGAATATAGTGTTGCTGGATTTCACATCATGACACTCGGGGATCAGCACTGGGTACTCTAGTGTCTTTTTAAAAAAAATTTATTTAAAAAAAGACTAAACAAAACAGAAAATGGGTAGAAATAATACATACTTTCAAAGAAAAAATAAACAGTAAGAAATCACTAGTTGATGATTACAGATTGTCCTCTTACAAATAGTTATTCAAGATACTAACGTGGAGCTTATAAAGTGGGGATTCAAACAGTGAATCTGCAACAGTGACACTGCAACCAGTTCTGTTCAACTATCCAACAAAACTTAGAAATATGGCTATCAATCCTATACATTTAAACATACATGCAGTTATACCTATCTTCAATTATGTTGAGACTGAACAAACCCAAGCAGGCTAATATCACTCTGAACAAAGAATAATACTATTGCTGGGTTTCACATTATGACACTCCAGGATCAGCACTGGGTACTTTAGGGTCTCATTTTCTTCAAAGTATTTGTTCATTTCATCATGTGTCATAGATCAGTTCTCATAAACTGTTTATAGGTTCTACACATGCATGAGTCTTAACATGTATTTCTATCCTTTCTATATTAGAGGGAGAAACAAAATAAAGCAAGACAAAACAAAACATATTCCTATAAACACATGAAACAAAAAAGACATATAAGACTGTTGTACTAGGAGTTCTACCATAGTTCCTGTCTTCAACACAATCCTATGAGACAGATATATATCGTATCTACTTTAGAAGGTCAAGTAACTTGGCTAAGATCATATAAAGCTTAAAGATGAGCCAGGATTTTGACCTAAGAATGTCTATATAAAGAACTCAATCTTTTATTCTTACACTGTGCAATAGTACATTAGTTTACTAGATATGAAATAAAAGTTACATATTTAGCTATCAGAAATGAAGACCACAATCTGTTAATCTATAATGAACACTTAAGAGCTAAACTCATATTTCTTTTTCTTTTTTTTTTTTTCCTGTCTTTTTCCTTTTTATCGGTACCAGAGATCGAACTCACGACCGCCTGCTTGCAAGGCAGGTGCTTATGCCGCTGAGCTAAATCCCCAGGCCCTAAACTCATATTTCTGTCAAGATACATCAATTCATTCTTATTTGGGACACTGGAACAAATTAAAATTTTCTTTACCTCCATATGATAAGCTTCTTTGAGAGATTCTACTTCTGCTGATAATTTCTTGATTTCTGCTTGCATTCTTGCTTCTAAATGAGCTTCACGTACTTGAGATGCCCCCAATTCTTCAGCTAAATGATTTCTGTGAACTTCCTTAAAAATGATATTGAGAAAAGGCAATATAATTTGTTTATTTGGTTATTATATCTAAATAAATCCAATGCATTAATGTAAGCAGCTTAATTTTAATATAAACATAAACATTCAAAATTATCTTATCTTATTAAATGCTACATTTTATATTCTTTTCTATCATAATGCTATTTTTCAATTCTTTCTGTGAAACAAGCTAGTAACCACAGGGTACTGAACTTCAGATAATCATTTAATTTTTTTTTTTTTTTTTTGGTACTGGGAATCAAACCCAGGACCTTGCACTTGCCAGGCAGGTGTTTGTGTCACTGAGTTATATCCCTTGCCCAATCATTTAAATCTGGCATGCAACAATGTACTCTTTAGTATGCCTTTTGCTCACCAGAGGCAGTGTTTGTTTATCAAGTTCATATGTATTTTTATACAAACCTATCTATTCTATTTTATGCTAGCTATGATTATGATTTTAATTATATACATAATCCCCTCTGAAGTGAATGTGGTTTTGCTCTGAGGTTTCAGTAACCTGTACTCAATTGTGGTACAAACAAAACTAGCATGGTATTGGCATAAAAATAGACACACACAGACTCTTTTAAAAGCATTATACTTGCCCCCCACCAAGGTTTCTGAACTGCAAGTTTCCCAAAGGTTATAAACTTAGTAATAATATAAAGTTCCTAATAATATTATAAAATTATGTAAGTATAACACAGTTACCTATTTTTCTTTTTCAAATTGTGGTAAAATATGTATGACATACAAAAGTTATAATTTCAAGTGTAACTTAGCAATAAGCACATTCGTATTGTGAAACAAAGTTAATTTTTTCTAAGAATTATATAATATAGTTCAAAGCAAAAGTTTTTGAGTTTTTCAATAATATGAAATGATTTAGAATAAAGATTACTTTTTCTTTAGAAAGTTGCTTTATATCATCCAATTCACTTGTTAGCCTTTCTATTTCTCTTTGTGCTTGGACTTGTTGATGACGAGCCTCCACCAAGTCTGTGTGAGCATTCTGCAACTGCTCTTGGGTTAGCTTCAATTCTTGTCCCAAATCTCTGGCCTCCTTGTACTGTGTAGCAATGAACTGTTCCTGCTCTTTCATAACCTGAAAAGCACAAATTATTTGTAGATTCTAAAATGAAGTATATGGTTTCAGTCAATTTTTTATTCTGATTTCTTTTTCTTTCTTTTTTTTTTTTTTTTTTACTATATGAGGATAGAACGAACTACCCCAGTAGCTTCTGAGGCTAATACAGTCCTATCACCACAATTACTTTAGCAAACCTGGTTCCCTTAGCTTCTGCCACATCATGCAGAGCTAGTGATCGAGTTTGCACGTGATTTCTTCTTTTTGAGACAAGGTTTTGCTAGGTCGTCCAGCACAGTCTTTAACTCATTATGTAACACAAACTGTCCTTGAACTCACAGCAATTCTCTTATCTCAGCCTCTCAAAGTGCTGGGATTACACGTGTGAGCTACCATGACCGGTTATGATTTCTTTTTAGTAAGTTTTCTCTCCTCAACTAAACCCCTTTAAATTTTACCCTATATTGTCAGCACTGCAAAAGTGGCAATTAAGGGGAAAAAAAAACTTTTAATAAGAAAATGACAAAGTACTGTAATAAATTTGGAACTCGATTTATTTTGTCAAGACTTCAATACATGCAAGGTGTATAATTTTTTATCATTATGAATGTAACATTTATGAAAGAATATTTAATGGTATAGACAAAAAAAGGATGCTAACATTTGATTATCCATTTAAAAATGATAATATATTGAGATGTATAATTAAAATCCATCATTAGTCCTGACAATTGGGTTAAGGTTATGTATGACTTGTGCGTGTGGGTGTGTGTTTGAGACAGGGTCTTGCTATGCAGTTCAGGCTGGGTTTGAGCTCACTTTGCAGCCTAGACTGGTCTTGAAGTTGCAATGATTCCCGCCTCAGCCTCCCAAGTGCTGGTATTACAGGAGTTCATCACCATGCCTGGCTCTTATGATGTTATTCTTTTTTTTTTTTTTGTATACGTTTCTTTATTTTCTTTTTTTCTTGCCCACCCTTATCTAACCACAAAATGAAACTACAGGACTGAAATTAACAACTCATTAAAATCAGCAATAAGTTATGCAAATCATAAAGCTTTTTTTTTTTAAGTAATTAAGGGTAGTTAAATTATTTAAAGTATACAAAGTCCAAATAGAGTGTGGGAAGGTTAGGTCCCTAGGAAGGCCTTCTGGGACAAGGTTGAGGACCAGAGGGGAACCTTGGTGTTTGAAAGACAATGGGAACATGTGACAGCAAACTGCAGGCTAGGAATTTCACTTAGAAGAAAATAACATTTCTGAAAGTATAAGAGCAATAATAGCACTGCACAGTGGGACTGTGAGACAAGACTACAGAAAATGGAAGCAAATCTTTACAGTAAAATGAAATAAGTGCCGAACTTAACTACTTTAACTATGATAGTGTATCTACTGTGGGTATCAGATTGTTAAAAGCTGGTAAGGGTAATGATTCTGAAAACAAAGACAGCATTGAGCATTTTTCTACCTAGCCCAGACCTAATTCATTTTGTGCACTATAAAAAGTGAGATATTATTATGAAATGCTGTATCAGATTTTTCCCAGTGTTTAAAATATAGATATAAATAGATATAAAAGATATCTATTTTTACGTATGGACAAGATTTAAGACGATGTCATTTTGGTTTTCAACACATATAAAATTATAAAAATCTCAAATAAAAATGCTGCCATGGCTCAGACTTTGGCCTGCTAATCTGTATGCACAACTCTTCTAACATGCTGATTCAGAAGTATGTAGAGCTTTTTGTTCTTGCCCTCAATCCACACTCAGGCCTGTGTGACAGAGGTCATCAGGTATGGCTGGCGGTTGGGTACCCTAGTGCTAAAATGCAGGATAAAGTCAACTTGCTTAGCATGGAACAACAGAAAGCTGAGCTGCATGATGATCTTTTTCAAAAGGTTTCTTGGGAGTCTCTCCTTTTGTAAAGCACGAAATGAGTTTTCTAAAAAAGAATTGATCATCCACAGGCTTTACGATAAGTTGTCCCAGGCTATGTTTTAACAGCTCTTTAGTTATACAAGTTTACTGCCTGATTATCTAGTTTTCCTCACTATAGATTTGATTTTGTTTCTAAGGCCATAAAGCTCGGGAAGGGTTCATAATCCTATCTTTGAATGTGTCTTCTCAATGTAGTATGAGCAAACTAGAAAAAGTCCATTATTTCCAGTGTCCTCTTTTGAACCAACTAAATCAAATCAAGGTAATTTCACATTTGCTGTTGCCATGAGAAAATTAGATTTTTTTCCAATATGAATATTCTGAATATTTTTTTCTGCTGGGGAGGCTCTACACTACTTTTTGCTAAGTATTTGCTTAAATACAAGTCTTCCAATCTTGCTCAAGTATAGTTTTGTTTAGCTTTAAAGAGGAGACTGCAATATGAACCCAATTTGAGACTGTATTGTATTGGCCCAGTGAATATTTTGCCCGGCAATGTTATGTCATGCTGGGTTCTAGGAAATGAATGAGACACTGGCACTGGAGTAACCCTCATCACTCCCAATACTGCTGGGGTCATCAATGTCACTATGCGGGTGATACTTATATTGTCCACTTCTCTGTGGGAGAACTCTGTGCTTTCATTCGATCTCCTCTCACTCTGAGTCAGAATGATCTGAAGAATTAGTTGATCCAATGCTGTCCATTCGTATTCATTCCATCTCTTGAGGACCCTGCAGCTGTTCTAGTCATCGCTTTAAAATTCTCTGTTCTCGTTCCAAGTTCTCCAGCTGGTGCTGGCTCTTCCTTTCAGCTTCTTCAAGTTTCCTGATACGTGCTTTGGCTTTTTTGAGCAAACTAAGCATTGTGTGCTTGGTACAGTTTGATCCTACTAGAGGAATCAGAACTTTCAAGCGTTCTAGATGTAGGTGCAGTTGAGTTCGCTGATTTTTTTCCAGCTCACTGTGTGTAGGTCTGTTGGCAGTGCTGGTGCTGCTGTTCCCACTGCTGGGCTTCTGTGCGAAGCTCAACCTCCATGGGAGCTTTGAATGCAGTAGCCGGGGGTTGGGCATGGAGGGAAACACGAGGCATAGCCGCGATCACACTCTTGCTCCCAGCGCTCCAAAAACTCAGCTGCCCTGCACGTTGATCATCCGCACCCACTCCATGGGTACTGCGGGTGGTGACTGGGCCTCTCTGCACTCCCACCCCCAGCCGACAGGAGGCACCACAGGCGGCCACAACCAGGCGTCGTTCCTGGACCTGTGCTGCCAGCAGGCGGCCCGGCATGGCCATGGCTTGGCGTACTCTGTGACCTAATTCTTGATGAAAGTTAAACTTATCACTGTGGCTATTATTCTCTTAGAAATGTTACTATGTTATTTAGTTAAGTTCCTAGTAAAGTATAGACTGAATATCCATAACCTGAAAATCCAAAATCTGAAATATTGCCCTAAATAGGAAATTTTTGGGGTACCATCATGATTCAAGTGGAAAATCCCACCCCATAGAAATTTGTTTTATGCACAAATTGTTAAAGTTATTGTATAAAATTATCTAAAATTATCTCCCGGTTATGTGCATAAGCTGTATTAGAAACACAATTGTATGCTTAGATTTATGTCCCATTCTTTTTATTTATTTATTTATTTATTTGGTCTTTTTCGTTTTTACCGGTTCCGGGGATCGAACTCACAACTGCCTGCTTGCAAGGCAAGTGCTTATGCCGCTGAGCTAAATCCCCAGCCCCTTTAGGTCCCATTCTTGAGATATCTCTTTATCTATAAACAAATATTATAAAGCCCAAAGAAATTCAATATCTAAAACACTTCTAGTCCCAAGCTTTTTGGATAAGGAATATTCAAACTGTATTGCTTCTTAGAGGAAAAAAAAATCAAAATTAAATCCATTGTATGTTAGCTGAGTGAGACAGGTTGGGTAGTAGGTATTTATACTTGATTTCAAAGAATCAGAAAAAAAAACTAGTACAGATTACTAAGTACCTAATGTTTGGAATGAAGGCCCGGGTTAGAAATTAATATAAGTGCTATTATATATTTTTAGCCATTTCTTCTAAGGTAACCTAAAACAATAGGACTAATAATTATCACCTCCCACTGCCAACTTTGGTGCCCAAACCTGAACTCAGAACCCTTCTTGAAATATATATATATATATATATATATATATACTCAATAAGTATATCTCCATAAGTAATTATTTATGCTTTTTATACAATACCCACAATTCCAGATGTCGAGGATATAGAAGTGAACAAAAGAGACCAAAATGGCTACAGAGTCTGTATTGTACAGGGGGAGTAGATAATTAGTCAAACACAATGAAGAGCTGTAATGTATCTAAAATTTTGAAAGTGGGGTCTTTAAAAACAAGAGGTTATTTATATTCATTAGCACTTATAGAAACAAATTCACTTTTTGAGAAGGTAAATTGGATTGAATGATTCACCAGTCAACATATATATAAAATGATGATACAAAGTCACCGAACTTCATCAAATAGCACTATGTACTGACCTCAATAATGCACAATTATCAACTGTTTACCCATTCTCTGAATGGAGTTTCTTGGGACAGAGGTCTTTTTTTAATTAATGTTTGTATTTTCAATTGTTTATATAGTACTCAATAAATATTAACCAAATTAGTATAAATTGTGGATTTATCACAATAGATAAAATGCCTATGCATAAGATAAGTAGATATTGTCCTTGCCTGTACTTAAACCACTGTACTACAATGTTTTATGTATTTATTGGTTTTCTGAGACAGGGTCTTGCTGTATAGCTTAGGCTGGCCTTGAACTCATTATGTAGCCCAGGCTAGACTCAAACTTATGGTGATCCTCCTGCCTGAGCCTCTCAAGTGCTGGGATTACAGGTATGCATTACCAGGCCAGCTCCATAATACACTATTTTAAAAAGTCAAAGAAACTAATATGCATCTGGTACAAATAAGCAGTCTAATAACACTTAAGGCTCAATTTCTATATATTAAAACCAGCTTAGGACAAAGCTGGAGTGTTGGGAGCCGCCGACACCGGTCGCCTTACTTGGCGGACGTAGGGCCTGTGGGTGGGAGCGGAGCCTGAGCTAGATTGCCCCTCCCATCGAGTGAGTCAAGTTGGCGCCTGCTTCCTGCCCCCTGATTGCGCTGGCGACTTAAACAACCCGCTCTGTAAGATAGTCTGCCTAGCAACAACTGATGTTAGCCAATCAGCCCGCATCGGGCGCTTTGAACTGATTGGCCACTGTTACCCTATAAAAGTAAATGCCTCTCCCGCCATGAGAGGGAAGCACAGGGAAGCACAGAGAGAGATAGAGAAAGTCCACCGGCGAGAAAGGGCTGGTGGCAGAGAGGAGGCCTCGAGGGGCCCACGTGGAGACAAATAAAGGCAAGGTTGCACACCGCCAGACTTTGTCGTGTGTCTTTCCTGCCGGCCGGGAGCGACCCCGACATTTGGTGACCCGCACGGGGACTGATCAACCCCGAGACACGGCGGTGGTGTGCAACGCTCCAGCGTGGTGCTGCCGGACAGGTGAGTTGGGGATAAGCCTGGGCTCTGGGTGGCGCGCACCTACAGGGCTTTTAGACTCCCCTCAGGCTCACGCGTAGGTGACGGGTTCTCTAAGTCACACGCGGTGAGTTACAGCCCTTAGAGGTTAGAGATGGGTAATTTACCGAGCGCGGAGGCGCGGCCCTTGGTAAAGGCCCTTAGGAAGCTTTTAAAAGCTAGAGACCTCAGGGTAGGTCAAAAAACACTAGAACTATTCATAGCAGAGATAGATAGGGTGGCTCCCTGGTTTTTACCCACGGGGCATTTAAACCTGCCGTCATGGGAGAAGTTAGGCGGGGACCTCGCTTCGGCGGAATTGGAAGGGGATATTTCGCCGGCTATTCGCCCCCTGTGGGAAATGATACATGCGTGCCTTGACTCCTATGCCGAGTTGCGCCGCGAATTGTGTGCGTGCGCCGCTCGAAAAAAGCAGAGAGAGGAAAAAGGGCCCCCGAGCGCTCTCTGGTGGGGAGGAGATAGAGAGCCATCCGCTCCGCCCTGGAGCTCTTCTCCAGAAGCGGCTCCCCGCCGAGAGGCCGCTACAGGGAACCCTCCCTTCTCTCAGCCGGCACAGGAAGTGACGCCCCGTTCCACTCTGTCGCGACCGCCGTCCTATGACGTTGCGCCGCGGGGCGGACGGTATTTTCATGGGCGGCTACTCTGCCGAGCAGGCTGAGAAAAACGCCGGTTGAGGAAACGGGGGCTGGGGATTTAGCTCAGCGGCATAAGCGCCTGCCTTGTAAGCAGGCAATCGCGAGTTCGATCCCTGGCACCGATAAAAAAAAAAAAAAAAAAAAAAAAAAAAAAAAACCGAAAAAGACCAAAAATAAAAAAAAAATAAAAAATAAAAAATAAAAAACAAAAAGGGGGAGTAAGCCAAGGCCTGCCTCCAAAGGCGCGGTTATCTATGGCATGACAATGGATGGGCCCGGATCCGGTGGTTAGCTGGAACCGAGGCGCGGTTTGTGTTTTTCTGCAGGAATCGGGACGAGAACCACTGTGGGTCCCAGAGAGGTTGCGACAAGTCCCTCGACTGAAGATCAGGCCTGTTCCACAAGAGGCCAACCGCAGACCCAACAACAAGATGAGCCCTAAAAGAACTACAGGACAATCCCTTTTTGGGGAGCCTGGAATGGCTTGCTCCCCTATGTTTTACCATTGTTAGGTCCCCTGTGCTCCTTGCTTCTGCTCTTACTTGTAGGACCATTCTTGCTCTGATGGGTTACATCATTTATTAATGGGCGCCTTGCGGCGGCCCGGCGTCAAGTACGCCTGGTTGCCCATGCGGCCCTGGCAGCAGCCCGTGATGGGCACAATGACCCCCAGGCTTACGCATGGCTCGCTCGACTGGCCTACGACTGGGTCTAGGTGTGGCGGGTCTTCCGCATTCCTTCCCTAATGACACCACACAGCAGGGTAGGTGAGTCAATGACGGGTAAGAGCGTGCCTCCCCAGCACGACTCGACCTAAGCCAGGCCCTACCCCATGGCGCACGAAAGCCGCTGGATTACTAGAATCTGACCAGATCTAGATGCCTCTCCGAGGGGATCACACGGAGGGGCATGAGTGCATGCCTATGTGCATCCAGGTTCCGTCCAGTTCACTCCTGGCCCTGGAAAAAGGACGAGGGTCTCAAGGCCTTGGCAGACCCGGGGGCGGCCGACCAGTGTCCAAGCCAAGGGCCTACGGTGGGCCTCAACACAGGGCATAAGCCTCTGCACTCGATCCAGGGCGGGCTGCGATGCATACATTCATTCAAAGTAAATAAAATAGGGGGAGATGTTGGGAGCCGCCGACACCGGTCGCCTTACTTGGCGGACGTAGGGCCTGTGGGTGGGAGCGGAGCCTGAGCTAGATTGCCCCTCCCATCGAGTGAGTCAAGTTGGCGCCTGCTTCCTGCCCCCTGATTGCGCTGGCGACTTAAACAACCCGCTCTGTAAGATAGTCTGCCTAGCAACAACTGATGTTAGCCAATCAGCCCGCATCGGGCGCTTTGAACTGATTGGCCACTGTTACCCTATAAAAGTAAATGCCTCTCCCGCCATGAGAGGGAAGCACAGGGAAGCACAGAGAGAGATAGAGAAAGTCCACCGGCGAGAAAGGGCTGGTGGCAGAGAGGAGGCCTCGCGGGGCCCACGTGGAGACAAATAAAGGCAAGGTTGCACACCGCCAGACTTTGTCGTGTGTCTTTCCTGCCGGCCGGGAGCGACCCCGACACTGGAGAATCCTACTTTTTCCTTGGGTAAAAATAATTCACCTACCTTTTCAATTTCTTTTATCCTTTGTTGTGTTCTTTCAGCTTCCTTCTTCAGTTGACCTATCTCCTGCTCATTTTGCAGCATTATAAACTCTTTCTCTCGAAGTTGCTCTTTGGCATTTTGCAATTTCCCATTTAAACTTTCTATCTGAATTTTAAACAGATAAGTATTCTTAATGTAACAGGAAATATTTAATGATAGCTCTATTCTAAGTCAGTTTTGAATATTTGTCTAAAATATCAAAAGTATAAAAATATACTTTTCTTAAGAAAATCATAATTTAAAAACATGAATAAAAATTCTTATACTCCTTAATAAGATGCTTACATATACACTTGAATATATCAAAATCCTAATAATAACTTGTATAAAAAAGTGCATTAAAAAACAAATGTATATTCAGAATAATTTTATAGGTAATAAAACAGAGGAAGTAAAAAACAGAGGAAACAAAGTTTCCTTACCATTGTGTTCCTTCCTAAGAGGTGATCAGTTTCCAGAATTACTTACAAATCCTCGCAGAAAAATTTCATATGTATTCAGATATGTACATTGATACTAAGGACATGGACACATTGATATAAGAAAAATTACATAAAAGTAATATTAAGAAGACAACAATTGATAAGCAGCACATAGAAACTGATGAAAATTCTGTCTGTTTGGCTTTTTTTGGTGGTGTTGGGGTTTGAATACAAGGTCTTCCCTGAGCCATATACTCCCATTTCAGAAAGGGTCTCCCTAAACCACTAACTTGCCCAGGGTGGTCTCAAACTTGTATTACTCCTGCCTAGTGCTAGGATTACAGATGTGTACCACCACACCCAACTTATGTAATGTTTTTATCATATATATTGTGTAAAAAAGCCATGTCCAGGTGCAGTCATGTGTGTCTGTAAGTCCCAGTAACTCAGGACAATGAGACAGAAGAAAAGGTTGAGTCCAGGATTTCAAAAACAGGCCAGACCACGTGATAAGACCTCATTAAAATTTTTTTTTAAAAAAGCCATATGTAAATGGGTGCTTATAGTTATGGACTTTTAAAAATTTTAAAATATGTAATCTAAAAATAATTACCTGTTTGTTGCATTCTTTAAGTTCCAGTTGTGATTTTTCCAGAGTGCCCTCTAATTTAATTATTTTTTGTTCCATTTCTCCTCTGTGTTCACGAATAGTCATATCCAAATGTGTAACCTAAATAGAAACATCATATTAAACTACTGTTAAGTTTATGCTGATCTGAAAACTTGAATGTTCTGGAATTATTTAGAATAAGTATAGCTGAAAGACAAATTCATCTCAAACAACATTTTTAAAATAAGAAATCATTTACTTATATTTGGGCTTGAGACCCATATATGCTATACAAACTTAAAATTATGAGTGATTATGCTCATAAATGACAGAATGATTCAGACTTCATTTATACTAGATAAAAACTGCTAAGTAATGCTTTTTTTGGGTGTTTACATTCCTCCAACACTTACCTGAGAAAGTAACTTCTCTAATTCTGTTTTCTTGAGATACACAGTAAGATAAAAGATCAAAAAATGCACACTAGGGTAATTATTTTCTCAAAATCTAATTGCTGTATAAAATATCAAGATAAAGAGAAAAGATATGTTTCTAATGTGAAAAATATTTATATGCAGAAAAATGCTAAAAAATACCACTTTGTCCCAAATTGGTAACTTCTAAAACCTGTACAGTTTTCATAACAAAAATTTCATTAAAATATAATTAAGAAAATTAACCTGAGCTGCTCTTTGCTTTAGTTCCCAATTTCTCTCCTTAAGTGCCTGATCCATTTCAAGGAGTTCTTGTTTTTTGTCTTCAATCTCCATCTTGCAATCTCTGGAATTTATCAAAGGAAAAAGATCAAAGCAGATAAGAATGTTATAGCTTTTAAAAGTTCCACAATTGGGTTGCTTTTCCTATAAATTAAGAGGAATAACATATATGAAATTAACTCAGATTGAGAACTCAAATTTTAAAAAATGTGTAAGAAAATGACTGACAACAAAAGCTAACCTATACAATTACACATATCTTAAGCTACCTATTAAATCATTCCCAGGGATCTAAGACTTTCAGTCATCACTGTTAACATTTTTTTAAAAACTTGTATGATTTTCATCAAGGGTGTGTTTGAAAATCCTTTACATATAACAGCTGTGACTTTATTTTTTACTATTTTCTTTTTTGGTAGTGGGAATTGAATTCAGGGCCTTGTGCTTGCCAGGCAGGTGCTGTGCTGCTGAGTTACATCCCCGGTCCCAGCTGTGACTTTATTACAACAGAATAAAAAAATAAAATCTCATGGTTGGTGTCCCTGATATGTGCTAGATTTGTGCCCTGTTTGTGCTAGATGAGTGCTCTACCTGAGTTATATCCCTAGCCCCAACCATCGTATTTCTTATGGGAATTTTACTCATAATTATGTATTATATATAATGAAATACTAAAGTCTAATATAAATACATTTAAAAGTAGATTTTTAATAAATTTTAACCTTACTGAATGTTTGTATGTAATTTTTTTGTCATAAAAATTCTTAGTATTTGGCCAGGGGTTTAGCTCAGCAGTGTTAAGTGCCTCCTTGGCAATCACGAGGTTGTGAATTTGATCCCCAGTACCTCTCCCTGCCAAATTCTTAATATTGATACAGTTTTAATTTATTGACCACTCTGAAGGCTGTGATCAGAGAATTTTGATTTGGAATTCTAAATCCTGATATGACAAAGGTTGAAAACATTGATTTTAAGTCATAATGTTCCACTTTGAAAATGAAACAAAACTGATAAAAGTAATGATTTTAAAAAGCAGATTATGAATATATTTAATAAATTAATATTCTTCCAAGAGTTACAATATAAGAGTAAAACTAATTGTATTTTATTTGGTATTTTTAGGACTAGGATTATATATGCCACAGTATAGGCACTCTACCACTAAGTTATATGTTTGGCCTCTAAAACTAATAATTTAAAAGCAACATGAAATTAATTCTAAAGAAAACTCTAGGGGCCAGGGATATAGTTCAGAGGCACAATGCCTGCCTGGCAATCATGAGGTTATGAATTTGATTCCTAGTACCAAAAAAGAAAAGAAAAAACTAATTTCTGTACACATGAACAGCTGAGCTTCCAATATTCATTTACTAGTTAGATCTTATGATTTCATTGTTTACTTCTTTCATGCTTCATTTACTTAAAATTGATTTAGTGAATATTTATTGAATGTTTCCTATATCCTAGAGTTCTAAGTGCTAAAGATTTAACAGTAATCAAGACAAATATCTTTGATCTCACAGAGTTTACATTCCAATAGCTGTGGGAGAAAAGATAGATTATAAATAATAAACAACTAAATAAGAAAAATACAGTATTAAATGCTATCTTAAAGCATTAAATATGGTGATGGGATAGTGACTGGGTGGTTTCTTTAGGGTGAGATAATCTGTGAAGCCTCCCTGGAGTTAACATGAAGGGCAAGAAGTTGGCTGAACAACATCATTTCAGACAAAAGAAACAGCTATAGCAAAAGTCTTAATGTAAAAGTTTTTGGTAAATTTTAAGTATAATAAAAAGGTCAGGTGCAAGGAAAATGATATAAGGAATAAAGTCAAGGAAATAGGAACCTGAACACATGGGGCCTTGAATTCTAGGATAACCAGCTTGGGTTCTATGTGCTTGCATGCACGTGTGTCCATGTGTGGCACTCAGGACTGAACCCAGGGCCTTTGCACTGGGCTATATCCCCAGCCCCTTCCATACCTTTTCTAAAATGTGGGACAGGGTTTTGCTTAGTAACTATGTTGCTCAGGCTGGGCTCAAACTTCAATCCTCCTGCCTCAACCTCTTATAGTGCTGGGATTACAGGTGTGTGCTACTACCTCTGCTTTTTTTTTTTTTTTTTAATTAACTGGAGTAAAACACATACAAAACTGATCATCTTAGCCATTTTAAAGTATATAAGTGGCACTAAGTACAATATAACAAATCTTAATGCTATATATTTCCAGTATTTACTTATCAACCCAAAAGGAAATATACCCATTAGCAATTTACTTTCCATTATCCCTTCCACAAAGCCCTGAGCAATCAGTATTTCTGTCTCTTACGTATTTGCCAGTTCTGAAAATTCCATATAATAGAATTATATAACATGTGCCTAGCTTCTTTTACTTAGCGAAATGTTCTTAACTATGTGAATCACACATCAGTATTTTATTTCTGTTTACAACTGAATAATACTGCTAGTAAGGATGCAAGTGTACCATATTTTATTTATCCATTCATCTGTTGATGGACATTTGTTTTTTTTTTTTTTTTGGCTATTGTGAATAGAGATGCTATGAACATCTGTGTTCAATTTTTGTTTCAACATATATTTTCCATTCTTTTGGATATATACCTAATAGAATTTTTAGGTCACATGGTTATTCTATTTAATGTATTTAGGAATGCCAAACTATTTTCCACAGTGGCTACCATATTTTAGGTTCTCATAGAAGTGTATGAGAATTAGGATTTCTTTACATGTTTATAAAATATGATTTTTTTAAATGGCTATCTTAGAAGCCAGGCGTGGTGGCTCATGCCTGTAATCCCAGCACTCGGGAGGCTGAGGCAGGAGGATATTTGCGAGTTCCAGACTAGCCTGGGCTACAAAGTGAGCTCAAGGCCAGCCTGAAGTGCATAGCAATACCCTGTTTCAAAAAGACAAAAAAAAAAAAAAAAAAAAAAAAAAAAAAAAAGGCTATCTTAGGGAGTATGAAATGATGCCTCCCTGTGCTACTAATTTTCATTTCCAAAGGAATTTGAATTTTGTTTTGAATGCTTTGAAAGTCACTAGAAAGTTTAAATAGAAAGGTGGTATGATTTTTGTTTAAATCATAAATTTATTCTGTGGAAACCAGACTGTGGTGGGCAGAGACATGGAGTCAAGAATGTAAGCAGACCAGTTAGGAAGCAACCGTAACCAACAAGGTAAAAGATATTGCTGTCTTACGCTATAATAATTACAGAAAAGAGGCTAGGAAATCAATGGATTTTATAATTTACTTTGGAAATGTAGCTAGCATGACAACTAATAAACTAGATGGAAAAAGATAATAACAACAATTGTATAGATTTCTAGTTTGAGCAACTGCATGATACTGAAATGGGGAGGAGCAGGGTTATGAGGATATTAAAGAGTTGTATTTGGACCATGTTTGAGATGTCTCTTTAAAATATACAAGTGGAACTGCTGCACACCTGAAATCCTAGCTATTTCAGAGATAAAGACAGGAGGATTCCAAGTTTGAGAACAGTTTTCTCAAAAAAAAAAAAAAAAAAAACAAAACATAAAAAATAAAAAGTGCTGGAAAAGTAGTTTGGCACTCTCTGGGTTGCATCCCTAGTACTTAAAAAAAAAAATGGAGAAAACAAGTAAGTTGGATACTGAATCTGGAGTTTGAGGAAGAGGTTAATGCTGGAAAAATGGGTTCAAATGTCTTGCACACCATGTTTAAAGTCATATGAAATTCACTGAGGATAAGTTAGTTGGTAGACAAAGAAGAGATGGGAGAACTACACTGAATCCTGGGCTGTAACATCTAAGTTTTTGAGTTATCTTACTTTTCTTTATCCTAGTCTTTATTTATTTATTTTTAATCGGCACCAGGGATCGAACTCACGACTGCCTGCTTGCAAGGCAGGTGTTTATGCCACTGAGCTAAATCCCCAGCCCCCCTAGTCTTGATTTTATACTTGTATTTTGTATCTGATTTATAATTTTCTTTTCTTTTTCTGGATTTATTGGGAGTAATTTGGCTCTGATTTACTTTTCCACTTCCATTTAGTACAGATACACGTTGCACAGCATGTTATATTGTCAATGCTAATCAAGAATTCAGATTTCACAGTTGGACAAACTTACATTTACCCTATACATTAACTCTCTTTAGTACAGTATTGGGAATTGAACCTAGGGCCTCCATACTGAACTGTATCTCTAGTCCTTTTTTTTTCAGTACTCCTGCCTCAACTTCCCAGAGTGTTAGCATCACAGGCATGTGAATCTTGCCCAACCTTTAACTCCCTTTTTTATTCCTACCTACTATAAACATTTTATTTAATTTCTTAAGTCTTAGTCTTCTCAACTATAAAAAGTTGATAATACATCTCTGACAGCTTTGCTTTAAGAAAGTAAATGGGACATATGTGACATCTGAGTCATAGTTCTGACATAAAATAAAGGCTTAATACAAAGAATAATATTATTAATATTATTTTGCTATTAGCCATTTTTTTCTCTTTATTTCCATGAGGTATGTGTAAAGTGGTTCAAAGACTAAAGGACTGAAATACTAATGATCAATAGCAACAGCTGTTCATCATTTAGATGAAACTGACCAGGTTAAGCCAGAGCCAGAGTTTTTACATCTAGAATTCAATAGCAAATTTTACTGTATTATCCAAGGACTCAGAGTAATAGAGGAGATACCTACAATTGTGACATCTTTTCTTATTACTTAACTCACCGAAGTTCAGCTGTAAGATCCTTTATAGTTGTGTATTTTTCCTCCAAGGATAATTGGGCCTTCTGTAGCACATCTCTCAATTCCTGCAGCTGTCTTAAAGTACTTTTCAGCTCCCTATGAGCATTTTGCAGCTCACTCTCCAGGGCCTCTCGTCTCTGCAGGGTTTCTGTTAGCTCATTTGCTGAGTGCTGCTGTAACTTCTCTAAGTCCTTCACTATGATGAGGAGGAAAAACTTTAGACATCTATTATTAAGAATTTTGTAAAAATTAACTATAAGAATATTGAATGTTATTTATCTATAAGATGCAAAATACTGACTATTCTTTGTCTCTTCTAGCCATATCATCTCAAATTTTCATCTTATTCTAATTTTTTTTTTTTTTTTTTTTTTTTTTTTGTCTTTCTGAGACAGGGTCTTGCTATGCAGTTCAGGTTGGACTTGAGCTCACTTTGTAGCCAAACTGGTCTTGTTCTTGCAACAGATCCTTCCTGCCTCAGCCTCCTAAGTGCTGGGGTTACAGGTGTGCTCCACCACACCCAGCTTCTTCTACTTCTTAAATACAAATATGCAGGCAACAATACTCAGATATCTACTGCTTACCAGCACTTGTTTTTTTTTCTAGTTCTGTCTTTGTGTGATCTAAGATCATATCTAACTGAGAGAGATGCATCGCTTTACTTTCTCCATCTCGTTTAAGATGCATTACTTCTTTTTCCATTTTAGACAGTTCTTCTTTATAATGATTCATCTCCAGTTTTATTTGCCTAATTAAAAACAAATAATAGAACAGGTAATTTAAAAACTTAAAAACCATCAGATTTGTCTCTAAATGAAGTCTGAAAGTTACATAAGATAAATATCAGCAAAATGTCTAATCAGAATCTTTTTTTTTTTGTTTTGAGACAGGGTCTCACTATGTAGTTCAGGCTACCTTTGCACTCACTATGTAGCCAAAACTGACCTTGAACTTGAAGCAATTCTCTTGCCTCAGCTTCCCGAGTGCTGGGATTACAGGTGTGTGCCACCCTACCATCTTCTAGTCAGAATCTTAAATCCCCACAACATTTTTAAAAACTCTCCAACTAAAAGAGTAGTATTTCTTTGCACATTACATTCCACTAAACACAAATGTACTACCTAGTAATATTTAACAAGTCTAGCATTCTCTTCAGTCTAACTACATGTAACTTTATAAAACTTTGCAAGAATAAGCACCTCTTTCATCTGGAATTTCTATGATCTGAAACAGACAATAAAGAAGCCAAACAATCAAATTATTCATTATAAATTTTTATAAAAAGGGGAGCCAAGACAGTCCTTTTTACCTAAAACTATATTATTAGTATTATCTATTTTAACTTTAAAAGGAATTAGAAAGTGGGCTTGATGGGGCATGTCTATAATCACAGCATTTGGGAGGCTGAAGCAAAAGGATCATGTGTTTGAGACCAATCTGGGCTGCATAGTGATTTCAAAGCTAGCCTGCATTACACAGCAAGACGCCATATTAAAACACAAAAGGGAAGAACTAGAATTTCCTATATTGTACAGCTCCTATGTTACAGAAGAGGAAATTGGAAAGTTAGGTGAATTTGTGTGAGGCAATGTAACTAGATATCAACAGTGAAAAGACCAAATTTACCGACTCTCAGTTAATCATGAGTTTATTTCAATATAAAAGCTCCACTATCTACAGATATACACAGTGAGAGGCAGTTTTAAATCCCTTTACTGGTAATTCCAAAATGGTATTCACTAAAACAGTAATTTTTCATGTTGTTTTTTTTTTCTTTTTCATTTTTATCAGTACCAGGGATTGAACTCACGACCACACACTTGCAAGGCAGGCACTTATGCCGTTGAGCTAAATCCCCAGCTCCCTTTAATGTTGTTTTTAATGGTAGGCAGTGTTTATGTTCCTTTGTGCTAACATGTAGGTTGTTTTTTTTTTTTTTTTTTTTGGCCTTCAAAGTTTCCTAATTTGGAGGCTGTGGATCTAGCTTGGCGGCATAAGCACCTGCTTGGCAAGCGTGAGGTCATGAGTTCGATACCTGTACCAAAAAAAAAAAAAAAAAGTTTTCTAATTTGGGTTTGGAAGTAGAAGTCTTTCCTAAATATAAAGGGGTTAGGGTGTAGCTCAGCAGGACAGTATGTGTTAGAGACCATGAGGTCCTGAGTTCAAATCCCAGCACAACAAATAAATAAATATTTGTATGCAAGTATGATATGTAACTTAAATTTGAATTTGCTCAAGGGGGTTTTAACCTGGAGTCCATGAATGACAAGGATAAAGTTAAAATGTGATTAGCTTCATGGACTTCATGAACTAGTAGACATAAGTGGTAAGGCAATGTTAGTGCATAGATTCCTGTCAACAGGAAGAAGGCCTGAAGAGCTATGGCCTTAGCTATAAACTTGAAATATTATCTTGGTCCTGTTGAGAGGGTAGGATTTAAGGGATGCAAATTGCTACTCTAAGCACAAAGGTCCTATTTTAATCCTAGTCAATGGAGGAAACGAAGTCTGGGATATATGATTATAATTTCAGTACATAAGGTTGCTATTGGCTCCTATTGGTAGAAAGGTGGACTAATTATGAATGCATTATTGATTATATTATTTCTTGTTGACAAAGTAGAAGAGATCTGGGGAAGCTAGTCACTGTTCATAAGTTCCTTTGCAAATCAATTATATATTGATGTCTGGGCCCAGCCCAGTCAAATTATATCAGAATCTTTACAAGCAAAGGTAGGACCCAAGCATCAGGATTTTTTGTATAATACACAGTAATTTTAATGTCTTGTCAATACTGCAAACCACTGTTTTATCAAGTTACTCCTGTGCACATAAAATTACATCCCCTTAAAGTTCCTTCTCTGTGAGGACAATTTTGCATGCAATTTTGAATGTCATTCACAGTTTAATTACCAACAGTTGCCAAAATGCCTATGTGGTATAAGAACCTATGCTAATTGTGCTAATTGTTGTGGACAACCTTAAAATAAACCAGATATGATCCAGGCCTTAATGAACTCAGAATACAGTAGAAATGGTAAAGTATTATGCTAAAATAGAAAAAGGCATGAGAGATATGAAGAAAATAAAAACAAAATGGTATAGGAACACATTATGAAAACACTAATTTCTCAGGCAAATGTTTCAGAGGACATATGTAATTTTGAAACTCAAATACTACTGATAAAAAATTGGGAAGTAAATAAAACTAATGTATTTATGTCTTACCTGGAAGTACCAGTAAGTTCAATAATTTTTTGCCTTTTCAAGTCAGCATCATGTATAGCTGCTTCACATTTTTCCTCCATCTTTCTCAACTTTTCAGCTGAACTTTCTCTTTGTTTTTGAAGTTCTTGTTCCAGCTTTGATACCTTGAAAAGTAGTTTTTATTTAGTATTTTAAAAGCAATCACAGCTAAACATTATTTCCAAGAAAAAAATTATAAATATGTGGCCTATCATATATCATTTAGTTTCAGAGCTTACTATAAAATTTCTAGTAAGCCAGGCATGCTAGCACATGCCTGTAATCCAGTTTGAAGGCAGCACAGGCTACATAGTGAATTCAAGGTCAGCTTGGACAGCAGAGTAAGACCTTGTCTCAAAAAACTAAAAACCAAAACCAAACAAACAAAAAACTTTCTCCCTCTGGGGGGGGGGGCGGTAAAAAAAAAAAAACATAGTTCTTCATGGAAGTTTTCCTAGATTCTCACCTGAACTCAAACTTTACAACTTTCATTTGTTCCTATCCCTTCTCCTGTTGTGCTACAATAAAGGTGGTATTCTTCTGCCTGTGTAAGTCAAATTTTTCATAAGTAGTCTATATTCGATTCCTACCTATTTTCTGAGGAACTTCGTACTATTGACTATCTTTTTTCTTTCCTGTATTTTCATTATCTCTTTATTATTATTTAAAAAAGACCTCCCCCACTGTAAAAAAAGTTTCCTTATACCCCTACCTCCCTTGATCTACCACCCTTTGTTTCAAACCTGTTGTAGCTCAATTTTCTCAAAGTTCCTATGCTGTATCATTCTCTAACTTGTCACATATTCTTCAACTCATGGCAAACTGGTTATTCCAAATGAACTGTGATTAAATCTCTTGTAGCTTCTAAATTGTTAATTCATCAACAGAATTTTTCCAATTCTCATTTTACTTGACATAGATTTCAGTAGTTTGTTAAATCAACTGTCATTCCTTTCTTCATCAAAGGAATGTTAGGGTATAGCTCAGCATCATTTATAGCATCACTCAGGGATCTATCCAAATCAATCTTCTTCTCTCTCATTTTACCCTCTATCCCTAGATAATCTCAGTTAATGTTTTCAGTGAATGTTTACATGACTGTGGTCTCAAAGTTAATCTCTACATTTGACTGTAATATCCCACCCCCAATCTTCTAAAATCCCTTTTTGAAGAAATATAGATTAAAAACTATTATTATCTGCCCTCCAACTCAAATTCAAAAAATACATAGTATTAAGAGCATAGTACTCAGGGGTGGGGGATACAACTTAGAAGTAGAATGTTGGCCTAATATGTAAAAAGACCCTATATTTGATCCCAGTAACCACAAAAGAAAATAAAGGAAGGTAAACAAAGGCTGATGGATGTGACTCTACGTCAGATCATTTGCTGAACACACATGAGAACTGAGTTTGATCCACCTAAACAAACAAAACCAATACACTGGTAAAAAGGAAAAGGAAATAAAAAATCTTTGCCTTCTATTCTTGATTAAATAGCACAAATATAAATAAAAGGAATTTAAAGGTAAGCAATAATCTGAAATAATCCCTATTCATAGTAGAATATAAATGAAAAGCAAGAAGAGAATATAAACAGAAATTTTAAGTGTAAACTTCTGTAGATCATTAAAGAAGTTAAAGAGCAGAAAATCACTTAAAGATCTTCAAGAAATAAAAACAACAACAAAATCCAAATGAACTGTTAGAGCTAAGGAAAACTATTACCCCAAGAGAAGAAAACTATAAAATCACTATGGAAATGAAAACTACCTAAGTGGAAATAAGAATTATAATCTGCAAAAATCAGACACAATGATAATGGATTTAGGTGGTGGGAGTGAAACATTGATACGAAGAAATATTTCAGGGTGAAGTTGTACAGTAAGCATAAAAAGCAAGTCTAGACATTAACAAAAGAATGGAAAATCACAAGAGGATCTAAAAATACAGAATATTTGCTTGATATGTTTGAATGTATTGAAAGGAGATTCTTTAGTTTCACTCAGAGGCTATCTTGGAAATTTTCTGTTGCTGTAACTGAATACCACACATTGGATAATTTACAAAGAATAAAGGTTTAAGGCTCAGGGACACAAGTGCCTGCCTGGTAACTGCAAGGTCATGAGTTTGATTCTCAGTACCAAAGCAAACAAACAAATAAAGGTTTATTCTACTAGTGGCTTGGACATTGGGAAATCCAAAGTCAGGATGAAGTCCTTCTTTCTGGTGGGCAATCTGAACTATCGTGAGGTATCTTAGGGCATCACATGGCAAGATGACCCCTTAGAAGAAAAAGGGAAAAATCAGCTTTTTAAAGAGACTCACTTTAAAAATAAATCATTCATGAGGGCAAAGTTCTTATGACTCCATCACCTTTTAAAAGTTCCACTTAGGGGCTGTGGATTTAGCTCAGCGGCATAAGTACCTTCCTGACAAGTACAAGGTTGTTTGAGTTCAATCCCAGGTACCACAAAAAAAAAAAAAAAAAAAAAAAAAAAGTTCCACTTAGTCCCACTTATTACTTTATCATAAGGATTAAATTTGTACATCAGTTGTGGTGGTGACATTCCAAACACAACGGAGGCTAAGGATGAAGTCAGAATAATGAAACATCATTTCCAATTGACAAAAAGGAAAACTGTAAGATCACACTGAAAAATGTGTAAATTTAACAATTCATATCTTCTTTTTTTTTTTGTACTAGAGATCAAACTCATGACCTTGCGCTTGCCAGGCAGGTTCTTACATCACTAAGCTAAATCCCTGGCTCTATTTCATATATTTCTATAAATTTTATTTCTTTTGAAGAAAGAAAAACAAAAACAAAATACCCTGGCAAAGAATTCAGATAAATTTGGTAATGAAAACAAAAAAATCACTAGGTTTTAGGATAAAATTTTGTAAGATTCTTTCACTGAAGTAGTAAGTTATTTTATTTATTTTGTCATTATTATCATTATTATTATTATTGCAGTGCTGAGAATTGAATCTAGGGCTACATATATGCTAGGCAAGTGTTTTTCCTCTGAACTATATTCTATAACTTATTTTCAGAACTCGTAACTTATTTTCAGAACTAAGTAGAATTTTCATTTGGGATTTTTCTTTTATTGCATTATTTGTTATTTGTTTAGGAAATAGGAGGACATCATGCACTGATCCAAACCGTAGATATTAGAAAGGGTAATGATTCAGTTAGGTGTTACACTTCAAGAATTCAAGAAAAAAAAGAGTAAAGAAGTCTAAACTATAACTCAACTGGGTAGAATGACAAATGACTACAGCATTAGAGATTCAGGTTCAGATTACACAAGAATAGAACTTTATTTTTATAATATTAATATGAAATATTCCTCATAATGCAAAATGTTTGAGCTTAAGCAATAATTTATACAACTATGCTAATGACTTTAAACATTTATATTTCATACAAATAAAAATGGTTATGGTCAATGTATACCTGTTTTTCAAGTTTAGTCTGAGTATCTTCTAGCTCTCCATTGCGAATTGTTTCTTGTTGTAACATTTGCTGCTGTTGCTGAAGAGTGTGCTGCAGAATAACATTTTGCTCCGTGGTCTCTTGAAGACTGTGACTCTTAATCTTCAGTTCTTTCTGCAAACAATATACCTAACAAACATATATTATGTATATATGTCTCAATGAAATGTTTCAAAATTTAAAAAGCACTATAATGTCAAAGCTGTCTTCCAATTAGATTATCTCCACTTGTCATGTTATGTATCTGTTACAGGCTATAGTATGGTTAGTCACTCGAAGGGCAGTACTCCTTTTTCTGATGTATAAGTTTGTTACTACAAGGGACACTTACAGGGTTGGCTCTTGGGTGGTGTTTGTGACGAGACTGTTTTGAATTGCTGCATCGTATTTTTTTCTGGGACTATGCAATTTGGATACTAAAAGTTGGCCATCATTCCTATGTGACCAGCTCCTAGTAAAATCCTAAACTGCTGGGCATGGTGGCTCACACCTGTAATCCCAGCACTCGGGAGGCTGAGGTGAGAGGATCATTTCAAGTTCAAGACCAGCTTGCGCTACAAAGTGAGCTCAAGGCCAGCCTGAACTGCATAGCGAGACCCTGTCTCAAAAAAGACAAAAAAACAAAACAAAACAAAAAAAACCCAAAAAACAACCCTAAACTATGGAGTCATAAACAGGTTTTCAGCTGAGTACATTGGCACACACCTGTAATTCCAGTGCTTGTGGGCAAGCTGAGGCAAGAGGATTACTGTGAATTCAAGGTCAGCCCTGTTAAAGGGCAACATAGTAAGGCCCTGTCTCAAAACAGCAAAGCAAAGTCAAGGAAAACAAAAAAACAAAACATAACAACAATGATAACAACAACAAACAGGCTTCTCTAATGTGAAATACTGCATGTGTCTTCACATTCCATTTCTTTTTCTTTCTTTCTTTTTTGTTTGTTTGTTTGTTGTTGTTTTTTAGATCAGGTTGGCCTTGAACTCCTTATGTAGCCCAGGCTGGCCTTGAACTCATGGCAATGCTTCTGCCTCAGCCCCCTAGTGCTAGGATTACAGACATACACATGCAGCTCCATACCCAGTTTTTATCATGTTCCATTTCTATGCGAAGGAACATGTTCTATGTGACCCCTCTCAAAAATAGGGCAGACAAAGATAAACACAGATTTCTTTACATTTTTAGCTGTTGTATTTTTCCCCCAACTGATAATAAACTACCACCATGAAACTATTACTTAAATATTAATATATATTTGTTGTTGATATTATTGCTGTTTATAAAATAATGTCCTGGCAGAGCCATCCAGAATATTCATGCTCCAAAAATCACATAAAGGAATGACAATATCAACTAAGAAATTTCACTTATTCTTCAAATATTTTGGACTTCAATATGCTGGTCTCCAAAATTGCTTTAAAAGATATCTTTAAAATTATTTAGGAACAACAAAAAAAAAAATTATTTAGGAACACCTATTTAAGAGGGGGAAAATGTCTGTGACTATAAATCACTGTTGATCAACTTAACTGGACTAGGAAACAGCAGATTAGTAAAGCACACTTTTGGGTGTGCCTGAGAAGAACATTACCTTGAGATCTAAACCTGGTTCCTTGCCATTCCTTTTGGGCGCTATCCCCCTACCCTCCTTGCTCTCCTGGACTAAGCACCTTTGCTCTGCCACGCCCTTCTGCCAAGATGTTTCTGTTTCAGAGCCAGGCAACCACAGACTGAATGTCCTGGAACTGTGAGCCAAGTTAAACTTCTTTCCCTTTAAATTGTGGATGTCCAGTATTATGTCTCAGCAATGAGAAAGTTGACTAACATGTCTTTTAACCTACTAATCCAACAAATCACTTTTAAAGTAGAAAAAATAATCCAGAACAATTTAAAATACATTCTGTAATATTTTACCTCCTTCCAAAAATGAAGTTTTAATAAATGATATGTCCTTCTGGTTAACTATGATGCATTCAGCTGGGCATGGTGGTGCATGCCTATAATCCCAGCACTCAGGAGGCTGAGGCAGGAGAATCGTACCAGGTTTGAAACTAGCCTGGGCTACAAAGTGAGTTCAAGATCAGCCTGAACTGCATAATGAGATTCTGTCTCAAAAAGACTAAAAAAAAAAAAAAAAATTCACTTAAAATCATGCTTGAGAGCATTTGCCAGCATAAAAGTTTACAAACTAAAGCTTTAAAAAAAAGTCATTAATTTGGATTTCATGCAGCTCGGGGGAAAAAAAAGTCATTAATATAAAAAATACACATGAAAAAGAAAAAATAACTATAAAGTATTATAGACTAGGTTATAGATATGTCTTTTTTAATAAATGGAAACAAAGCCATTTCTTTATAGCAAATATTCTTTTTAATATATATTATTCCACAAGAAAGAAATTTTAAATTCCTTATACAAAACAAAGGAGACTCCTGTAATCCTAGCACTCAGGAGGTGAGGCAGGAGGATCACAGTGAGTTTGAGGCCAGCCTGGACTAGAGAGTTCAAGGAAGCATGAACTACAAAGTGATAATGTCTCAAAAACAAAACAAAACCCAGAAGAGAATCATACTAATTTATACCTTTAGTCTTTTTTATTTTTTATTTGGAGACAGAGTCTTATTAAGTAGCTAAATTTCCCAGGGTGGGCTTACACTTGCAATCTTTCTGCTTCAGCTTCCAAGAGTGCTGAGATTATAGGTACAAGCTATCTTGCCTGGTTTGGGGGCAAACAGTCTTTGCTCAGGATGACAGACTCTCACGATTTTAGATATCTAGCCGGGCATGGTAGTATACACCTATAAACTCAGCACTTGGGAGGCTGAGGCAGGAAGACTGCGTAAATTTGAGGCCAGCCTGGATTACATAATGAGTTCAAGGCCAGACTGTATTACAAAATGAGACCCTGTCTCAAAAAACAGAACAAAACATTTCAAACTTCATTATATGATGATGTTGTAAACCAGGGATAATCCAAATGTCACAGGCAACTAGCCAATTTCTAATTCTATTTCTTTTTATGCTAATTTGTTTTATGTTACAATGATTTAGTATAAAAATATATTAGTATAACTTATTTTGGTTCCTATGTTAGATCCTAACAAAATTATAGGCCATACTTCTGCAGTGCTTTATTTTATTTAGAACTGACTTTCCTGCAAGAAAGATCTAAGTATTAACTTTTCTTTACTGGAATATCTTCTACTTTCCTATTTAGAAAGAAAATGGACAAAATACTTAAAAATGACAAAACAAAAGAAAAAAAAACCTAGTAAGACCTAACCAAAACATCAAGAAAGTCATACTGCATAACAACAAAATTTTATTCAGTAACCTATGCATTAGAAAAATTTCAATTACATATATCAGAGCTTCTAATGTTAGTCATCTCATGAATATTAATTCCTCTTACATTGTGCTGTCTTTTCACTTGTACCTAGATTTACTTTAAAAGTAAGTATAAGGGATAGGGATATAGCTAAGTGATACAGCACTTGTCTAGCATGCACAAGGCCCTAGGTTCAATCACTAGCACTGAAAAAAGTATATATATGCAAAATAAAAATTTTAAAAAAGTATATGTATAGGGTGAACTGTTTTTATATTATATCCTCTAATAAAGTATTAAAATATTCAGACAATAAAATTTTTCCAGAGGATCATTTTATTAGTAAAGTCAGTAAGAAAGTACATTTAGATTATAAAATCTACTTTAAGTTAAACTTTATTTAGTATTAATGTATATCCAACCTATTCTTACCACTGCTGCTTAAAAATAAAATAGAAGCCAGGGTTAGTGCACTTACAAGATCTGATCTATGCTTTGCTCTAAACACAAGCCAAATATAAATCATAAATAGTACTTAGATTCTTCTCCGTGTTTTTTCTTTTCCTTTTCCTTTGATGTACTGTGAACTGAACCTAGGGTTTTGTGCTACCTTTTTTTTTGAGACTGGGTTTCTAAATTGCTCAGGCCTGGCCTCCAGTTTGTAATCCTCTTGTCTCAGTCTCCAAAGTAGCTGGGATTACTGATCTGGAGACTTGAGACAAGAGGATTACAAACTGGAGGCTAGGCCTGAGCAATTTAGAAAAGTGACAGATGACCTGTTAAGTACATGTGTGTTTGAACAAATAATTCAGCAACAAGAAATGAGTTCGTAATCTTTTTCATTTACCAATGACCAGGTCTAGTCATACGTACCTAACACTTCTGATTTCTAACCCAGGTTGAACTTTATTTTGGGAGTTTATTTGTATGTAAATATCTGTTATCTGTTCTAGTCTCTAATGTTATTTCTAAGGATGCAAACAAACTCTTAGCAAAAATGCTGCCTAACCTCCAGATTCCATCTCTGCCAAGTCTACGTATGCTGAATTTGGAGTGAAACCAGTAAAATAAATATAAAACAATGTGTTTTTGTATTACTTCAAAGATCACTGTGAAAATGATATTAGTATTTCAAAAAGTCAAAATATTCACAGTTTTGCAGATTTAATTTCAATATATTATTAGAGTAGAAATAGATGTTAATAAAAACCTTCCTGGGGCTATCATGTCTCTTCATAGTACTCCACCTTGTGCTGTAGGGTGTATTTTAAAAATTTTTTCCCTCCCTTTTTCCTACTTTTACTTTACCCAAACTACACAGCTTTCCCCCTCTCTTCCAACCTTTAAGAAATGTGAAGTTTTGCTTCACAAAACAAACCTTCATGGATGGAGCAGAGAGAAAAAATGACCATACAAATCTTAAGTTCTAAAACTTAGCTATAAATGATGAAAACCTCACAAATCCACTGTTACAAGATGTTAATTATATTAACCAGCATTAAAAAGTTTCTCTATGAAATCACTCCTAAGGTTCATCTGGAACCAGAAGAGACCTAGAATATCGAAGGCAATTTTAAGCAACAAAGGCAAGGCAGGAGGCATCACAATCCCTGACTTGAAGTTATATTACAAAGCAACAGTAGTAAAATCAACATGGTACTGGAATCAAAACAGAGCAGAGGATCAATGGAATGGATTAGAAGATACAACCACAACTACAAATACACTCAACCACCTTGTCTTCGATAAAGGAGCCAAGCAGGTTCACTGGAAGAACGACAGTCTTTTTAATAAATGGTGTTGGAAAAACTGGCTCTCCATTTGCCGAAAAGTAAAACTTGACCCAAGCCTACCACCATGTACTAAATTAAAATCTAAATGGATTAAAGATCTGAATATTAAAACAGAAACACTAAATCTATTGGAAGACAAATTAGGTAGAAACCTTGAAGACATAGGGGTAAGTAGAGAATTCACGAACAGGACTCAAACTGCACGGGAAATACTTCCCAGAATCAATAACTGGGACTACCTCTTATTAAAAAGTTTCTGTAAGTCAAAAAAAATCTCTAGCATAGTGAAAAGAAAACCCACAAATTGGGAAAAGATCTTAGTGAACTCCCCCTCAGACAAAGGACTTTTGTCTAAAATATATAAAGAATTAAAAAAAAATCAGATCCCCAAAATTCAAAGACCCAGTCCAAAAATGGGCATCTGAGATGAATACACACTTCTCAGAGAAAGAAATACAAACGGCAAATAAATACATGAAAAAATGTTCACCATCATTGGTTATTAGGGAAATGCAAATTAAAACCACACTGAGATTCCATCTCACTCCTGAAAGGATGGCCAGGATCAAGAAGACCAACAACAACAAGTGCTGGAGAGGCTGTGGGGAAAAAGGAACTCTCCTACACTGTTGGTGGCAGTGTAGACTGGTACAACCTTTGTGGAGGTCAGTCTGGAGATTTCTCAAAAAGCTGGGATTGGAAGTCCCATTTGTTCCAGCTATTCCACTACTAGGCATCTTCCCAGAAAAACTGAAAGCATCATACCAAAGTGATATATGCGCACCTATGTTTATAGCAGCACAATTTGTAATTGCCAGATCATGGAAACAACCCAAATGTCCATCAACTGAGGAATGGATAAAAAAGCTGTGGTACTTCTATACAATGGAATACTACTCAGCTATAAAGAAGGATCACACTGAGGTATTTATCAATAAATGGGCGCAGCTTGAAACCATACTCATAAGTGAACTAAATCAAACTCGCATCTGTGAACTCCGAATAGTTTCCCTAGTGTAGGAAATAAATCAAATATATAAAAGTACGTGATAACCATGATTCCCCATTATATGGCCTTGAAGCCTTATAAAATTTTCACTCATTAATTGGAATGGCTTTATTCTGGGCTGTTTGATATTATGGCCGGTGATGCAATGAAGAGCTACTTTGAAGAAAATAAGACATAATAACAGCTAGTGCCGATTTAATAATATCTTGTCTTAAAGCCGCACCAAACTATGCTTCTTCTGTCTCCATTGATTTTATCATGTTGTAACTTGCTGGATTTTATCATATGTGGTAGTATAAACAAAAATTGTTATAGGCAAAGAGATAATATTGAAACCATTGATCATTTTTTCTGTTAGCTGGTTCTAAATACTCTACAATGCTTTCATCCACTTGAATGGTGTTACACAGTCTTGATATGTTTGATGCTATAGCATATGAAGTTATATTCAAATATTTCAAAGAAAAAGACACTATGGTAACTACTATTAAGTCGGGTTATTTGATGGTGAAGCACTAGGTTGCTGAAAGTGTTAAGCTTTAACCTGTATTGTTATGTTGTTATGCCCCCTTTTATCTCATCCTCTCCCTTATTCATTAAAAAATTATTTAATTTTTTAAAAAAATATCAACCAATAAAAAATGTTCCTGGATCTGTAGGGAAAAGGAAACCCTTTACAACTGTTGGTTAGAGAGTAGACTAGTACAAACACTGTGGAAATCAGTGTGGAGATTCCTCAAAAAATTAGGATTAGAGGTCCCATTCAACCGAGGTATTCCCCTTCTGTGTATCTTCCCAGAAGGATTGAAAAACATCACACCACAGTGACATATGTGCAACCATAAGGTTCAAAATATACAATAGTCACTGTGAAATGGAAGGAAACTGTTCAATAAAAAGAAGAAACTAAGATAGGGGAAAAGAGAAAGGATAGAAGGGAAAAGAAAAAAAATGCAAGTTAGTTATACCATTAGTGTCACTTAGTTCACTGAACAGGAAAGGTTGTGCTAACATTGATTGTAGAGATTTTTATGCCCATATTTTGTACTTGAGTGACTAAAGATAATGTTGTGTAATTTACCAACAATTGTTACTTTTTCATTAGTTTGTTGTGAAAATTTGTTTTACCTTTTCTTAATATTAACAAATAAAGTAATTTATAAAAAAAATAAAAATAAAAAGTTTCTCTATAAGAAATTACAATATTCTTAACCTTTAAGGTTATATTATTACATGATGTCTTTATTAACTCTGTAGTGCTGATCAGCTAGTATTTGCTTTTCGATATATTCTTGCCTTTTCCCTGCTCTGCCTTATATATTGTGGGAAATAGTATTCCTTAGTAGCCCCTACCCTCTAGATTATTTCTAGGTTTGGCTGATGTGACTGGCCAGTGCCTTCAGTTCTCTTCCTCCATGGCTCCAGTTCTTGCTATCCAGATCTTTTTTCTTTGGCTCTAGCTCCAGCGAAGCAGCTTACTTCTAGATGCAGTCATATCATCTCTCCCTCATATTCCTCCAACTCTAAAGATGATAGCAGTCTCCTGCTTATGCCAGTCTCTGAATTGCCTTAGTGTACTATTTGGCTTCTCCATTCATCTATTATTTATGTATCTAATCTTCTATATGCAATTCTTTCCATGGAAAATATTTATATAAGAATTTCTGTTTATCTGCCTGGATTTTTCTGATAAATTGAAGTTAATCTTTATTAATCTTCATTGAGGACCATTTCTAAAAATAAATGTAGCTAGGGTTAACATATCTACATTATAAATCTAACAAAAAATAAAATAATTTTTCACTAAAATAATTTCTTTCACTAGAACAATCTGTTTTATAAAACAGTGTCTGTTATGTTGAAAGTAAAGCGCTACATATTGGGGACACAGAGATAATAACATGATTCAAGAATGGCCTTTACCTGGGAATGGTGATACAAATCTATAATCTTAGTACTCAGGAGGCTGAGTCAAGAGGATCACAAGGTTCAAGGCCAGCCTGGATTACATAGTGAGTTCAAGGCCAGCCTGAAATACACAGTGAGATTCTGTTACAAAAAAATAAAATGGAAGACCTTTAATCTAGTATCTGGAATCTCACCCCAAAAAGAATGGTCATTTTTAATTTGTATTCTTTTGGTTTTTTTGAGACAGAGGTTTGCCCTGTAGTTCACGTTGGCCTTCAAATTATGACACTTGTCCTGCCTAGCTTTCTGAGTGCTGAGATTACAGGCATGTATCATAACACCTAGTTTTACAAAAAGATACATTTTTAAAGTAACTGGAAAATAATAGCTCAAAAAGAAATCACTTGGAAAATTTGCAACATATAAAGGAAATACTAATTTACCTCTTCAGATTTCTTCTTGAGTTGTTTTTCAAACTTTTCCTTATTACCTTCCAACTGGTTCAAATGCAAGGCAAGTTCTTCCTTACAAATTTCTAATGCTGAATCTAGTTGTCTAACCTAAGCAAGACAACAAAGGGAAAAACTCAGTTTCTTATTGTATGCTTGACACATCTTGCACTGTTAGATCATTGCTTCAAAGATAAAATATGCAGTCCTACTTAAGATATAAAATGCTATTACAGAAAATATTCTTTTGAGAAAATAGTTTCTTCATTGAGAATGAGGGAGCCAAAAACAAAAACAGAGAATAGAATTCTAGAGCTATTTCATGCCTAGAACCTTTGTATACTAATAATTTTTTTAGTACTAGTGAATTTTGAGCTTATTCCTACATGAGGAAATAAACTGATGTAGGTAAATACTATAGTAACAGTTACAATAAACCTACCATTATATTTACATGGGCATATACAGTCACAAATGGATTAAATCCAATACTAGTGTTTCTGTTTTAATATTTAGATCTCTGATCCATTTTGATTCCAGTTCAGTGCATGGTGATGCACATGAATCTATCTTTAGTTTGCAGCATGTGGAAAGCCAGTTTTTCCAGCACCATTCATTAAAGAGGCTTTCTTTTCTTCCAGTAAACATGTTTGAACCTTTGTCAAAGATAACATGGTTGAGTGTTTTGAACTTGTTTTTGCCTCTTTCTAACTTGTTCCACTGATCCTCAGGTCTTTTTTTCACCAGTACCATATTGTTTTTATCACAGTAGCTCTGTAGTATAATTTCATGTCAGAGGTTTTGATGCCCCTTACACTGCCTTTGTTGCCTTGAATTGTTTTTTGTTATTCTAGGTCTCTTTTGGTTCCAAATAAATTTTAGGATTTTATTTACTAATTTCTCTAGTTCTGTGAGGTACGCTAATGGTATTTTTTTTTGTCTTTTTCTTTTTTTTTTTATCGGTACCAGGGATCGAACTCACGACTGCCTGCTTGCAAGGCAGGTGCTTATGCCACTGAGCTAAATCCCCAGCCCACTAATGGTATTTTGATTAGGATTGCATTACATCTGCATAACAATTCTGGAAGTATGACCTTTTTATATGATGTTGGTTCTTCCTATCCATGAGCAAGGGATATCTTTCCATTTCCTGATAACCTCTTCAATTTCCTTTTTTCAGAGTACTGCCATTTTCAATGTAGATACGTTTCGCTTTCATTATTCCAAAAGAATTAAAAGCATCATACCACAGTGATATATGCATACTCATGTTTATAGCAGCACAGTTTGTAATAACCAAAGTCTGGAAACAACAAATGTCAATCAACCAGCCAGGCATATGGCACACGCCTGTAATCTCAGCACTCAGGAGGATGAGGCAGGAGGATATTTGCGAGTCTGAGACCAGCCTGGGCTACAAAGTGAACTCAAGGCCAGCCTGAACTGCATAGCAAGACCCTGTTTCAAAAAGACAAATGCCCATCAATCAATGAATGAATAAGAGATGTGGTTTTTTTTTATACAATGGAGACTTTCAGCTATAAGGAAGGATAAATTTGAAACATTTATAGCTAAATGGAAGGACCTTGAGACCATACTTTTAAGTGAAATTCATCATATATGTTTAAATACTACATAAACTCTCTGGTGTAAGAAACTGGAAATGTAAATAAGAACCAAAATGTATAACTGATATTGTGAAATAGGAAGTAATTGTTCAGAGGGAAAGGGTAATTGTGAGGGGGAATGGAAAAGAAAAAAATGAGAAAAAAAGGATAAAATGGAAACAAAGTTTTGTAAATAAGGAGGGAAGAAGGGTTGAAAAGGGGAGGAGAACAGAGAAAAAAAGAGGAACTAAAATATATTATGTACAGTTACAAATTCCTTATGATGAATGTGATCATTATAAATATCAAACTGTACCAATAAGCTTAATAAAAATCTGTTAGTACGGACAAAACAATTCAATAAATGTGCAAGATACAAAGTAAAAAAAATTCAATACTAGGCAAAAAATAAACAACTTTTTTTAAAAAAAAGGTCTTTTATATTCAAGCCGTGTATGATAGCATTAGGTGGCAGCATATTTGGATCTATTAACTCCACAAATGACAAATACCAAATACCAAATATGTAACAGTTTCTTCTTATCCACAACAGGTGTTCAAGAACCACAGATAATATTGAACCACATACGAAATGATTAATACATACATGTAACAAGTTTAATTCCCATTCTGTCTTAACTATGCACTTGCCACATAATGTGTAACTTTTGCAGTTTGAGTTGCAACAGTAAAATTCAACACACATTGATATTTTATCATTGATATTAGCAACCTTAGCATACAAATTGTTCCTTCCACCATCACTAATTCCTTAGTAAATCAAGGAACTTTTTACCTTTTCCTTGAAAGAAAATGCTTTACACTTCTATCGATTAATCTTTGAGCCATTAAGTAAAATAAGGGTAATGTGAACATAAGCACTGAGATATTATTTAAATAAATGTGATAGCCTAGATAGCTACTAAATGACTTATGGGCAGACAGTATATACTCAGTGTACACTCTGATACAAAAATAGTTCATATCCTGGCTGGGAACATAAGGGGACAAATGCAAGATTTCTTCACACCACTCAAAATGACACACAATTTAAAAATCAAGAATTGTCTGTTTCTTAGATTTTTCTATTTCTATTTAATTTTTTTGGACCACAGTTGACTACATATAACTGACCATAGAAAGTGAAACCATGAATAATGTGTTGGGGGATTACTATATAATAATTAGTTATTACACTGAGTTGAATAACTTACTATGTGCCAAACACTTACCTTGTTTCACTTAACAGTTAAGATAATGTTATCCCTGCTATACAAAGGAATAAAATTAAAGTTTAGACAGGTTAAATAATTTTAGCCAGGTAATAAGCACTATGAAGCCAGAAATGAATTTACTAACAAAGTAATTTACAAACTAATTTACTAACAAAGTCCATGGTATTATTTGTTATTTTCTGTGGGGAACAGGGTCTCATTATATAGCTCAGACTGGCTTTGAACTCACCATGTAGCCCTTGCTGGCCTCAAACTCACAGCAACCCTTCTGCCTCAGTCTCCTAACTACTAGGATTGTAGGTATGCATCACCATGCCCAGCAAACTCCATGTTTTATTTTATCATTCTTTTTTATTTCATTTTATTTTATTAGTACATGTTTGTAATTCACACAATTTATAATCACCTTGGGGAGTGATTACATGCACAGATTACTGCTTGTTTTTATTTTTAGGCATAAAACCATATCCTAGCTGCTAGTTAAGGGTTTAACCCTATAGAAGAACTGGCAAAAAAGGGCAAAATTGGATGACTTTCACTTTCATCTTCCTGCACCTCTTAATTCTTTGGCAATGCTAATAAGTTTCACTAACAGCTAAAGTTTAAAAACCATTTTTTGAGCGTAAAAAATCTTTTTAAAAAAATTTTTATTTTTTAATTTTTTTTTGGTATTGGGGATCAAACTCATGACTGCGTAATTGCAAGGCAGGTGCTTATGCCACTGAGCTAAAGCCCGGCTAAAAAACCTTTTTAATACATCAAATGAATAACTTACAAATGACATTTTTATCAAATAACTAAACAGAAATAAAGTTCACTTGATCAAGTGAAGCTGTAAACTCTCAATTGACTTTTATGCATACAATATATGGAAAAAGCTACAGCTATAAAATCTCCACTGAGAAAGACAAAAAGCATTAGCACACTAGCCTTGATTGTTTCTTCAGATACTTGATTCTGTAATGCTTTCAAAGCTTCATCTTTCTTCATATTTTCCTTTTCCATTTCCTGAAAGAACAGGCATTGGCAGAAAAAAGATATATATGGGTGTAAAGAAACATTTTTGCATTAAAATACACTAATAACTGATTTAAGTAGATTTTAAGGTGTTTTATTAAAAACTTAAAACATTAGCTTTTAGATAGCAGTTTTATAAAGATGAATTTACCGTTTTGCTTTCTGTCAAAAGTCTATCAAGTGACTCAAGATGATGCTGTTTACACATTATATCTTGTTGTAACATGGACATAGTCTTTTCTTGCTCTTTAAATTGTTGGTCCTTTTTCTCCAGTTGAGACTCAAGCTAAATGACAATAACAAAAGGAATTAATTTTCATGTTAAATTTTTAAAAAAATTTATTTTAAAGAGAATAAAATCAAATAAAACAAAACAGAATAAAGCCAACCAGAATACAACAATGAAAGCAATATAGGACTTCAAACAAAATAATAGGGTATCAATGATGGTCACCATGTCTCTTGTTTTCTTCAAAATATCAGACATAATAAAATCAAGCAAAACTAAACCAAGTAAAACCAATCAAAAGAATGAAAGTGTATTTTAAAGGAATATAACCAAAAAAAAAAACAGAATAAAACTAATTTGTTATCTTCAAAAGTGTCACCTAAACCATCAGACATAACAAAGTCAAACAAAACAAAACATAATGAAATCAATCAAAACAGAACATTGAATACAACAAAACAATAAAACAGAACAAAATAGTGAGAACAATACTAGACCTCAAAATCTAAACAGAAGAAAATCCCCCTTATTTGTTACACTGCACACTGTTATCCTCTCTATAGATACCCAGATCACTGGCCTTTAGGCCTGAAAAGTCAACCAAACAACAGAAGCATTAAGTCGTTTTGGTACCTCAGATGCTATCAACTCAGCCTGTCCTCTGAATCAGCTTGCTTATGGGAGTTTGGGGGTAGGTTCTTGTCTCCCAGCCTGCATGATGATAGGCTCAAAAGAAGGGCAAATTGGCCTTTTGTTCTTCTTGTTAGTTCTCCCAGACCCAGCACCGGCTTCTGCAGACTCACAGGGAAGGCAAATTTGGCTTGTTCTCCTCCCAGAAACCATATGGTTTGTGCCAGGTCCCAGGAAGGGTGAATTGGCTTCTCCTCCTTCTTGTTATTCCTCCTAGGCCCAGTATGGCTCCCACCAACTCATTGAAAGGACAAATTTGGCTTGTTCTCCTCCTGGGTCCCACATGGTTTGCACCAGGTCCCAGGAAGGGAGAATTGGCTTCATGTTAAATTGTCAAAACATTTTTAATATACAGAAGAAAATATAATACCAAAGGCCACCCAATAGAAAGGCAGGGATCCTTGATATGAGAAGTAGGCTATTGAACTTCAGTGTATATGACCTTTTACCTACTTTGATACAGTCAGTTAGCGGTGAGAAAAGGTGTGTTTTAAAATGTGCTGCATGGTGGGGCATGGTGGTGCACAACTGTAATCCCAGCACCAAGTAGGCTAATACAGGAGGATTGCTGTAAGTTTGAGGCTATCCTGGGCTACAAATTGAGTTCAAGGCCAGCCTGAACTACATAGTGGTACCCTTTCTTAAAAAACCCAAACCACCAAAAGTGTGTTATAAATCATGGTTCATGAACAATACATTGTTTCACTGGAGTTGTACAATTGTGCTTGCTCAGATTCCAGATTAAGAAATATCATCAAGAGAGATAAAATTTGGGTCTTATGTTTATGATCCTCAGGCCAAAGTACAAAGTTCTCAGCAGAAATCACAGTGCTCTCTTTGCTTGAAAAAAAATGTATTAATCAAGATCCAAAATCAAGGTGATACTCGTTATGGCTTTTGGTCTTGACAGAATTGTGAAATCTGCAACATTATGATGAACTTGGAGTAAGTTTCTTAGAGAGTTTAAGAAATGAAGCGTGCGGAGGAGGAAAACTGCTGAGTGGTGACTGGCAGCAAAATTTTCAACAAGATACTGGCAATCAGAATGCAACAAATCATCAAAAACATCATACATCATTGACCAAGTAGGATTCATCCCTGGGATGCAGGAATAGTTCAACATACACAAATCAATGAATCCAGTATATAAACAGAAGCAAGGGAAAAAAATCACAAGTTTGCTTTAATGGACACAGAAAATGACCAAGACTAACATTTACTCATGATAAAAACTCTAAAAGAATAAGTATAGAAGGACCTTAATCTCAATTAATAAAAGCCATTGATGAGAAACCAATGGCCAGTATCATATTAAGTAGGAAGAAGCTGAAAGTTCTCTCTTTAAAGTCAGGAACAAAACAAGGATATCCACTATCACCATTACTGTTCAACAGGTCTCAAAACATTAGCCACAGTAATCAGGCAACAGAAAGAAATAAAAGGAATGCGTATAGGAAATCAAGAAGTCAAATTATCATTATTTGCTAATGACATGATCCCATAAAATACAAAAAAACTCCTAGAATAACTGCATTCCATAGCATAGCAGGATACGAAGTCAACACATAAAAATCTATAGTGCTCCTGTACACCAATAACAAATTCACCAAGAAAGAAATTAGGGATACAATGCCTTTCACATAGCATCAAGAAAATATTAAGTACCTAGGATATAACCTAAACAAGGAAGTGAAAAACTACTTACAATGAAAACTACAGTACTCTAAGAAGAGGTTGAAAAACACCTCAGAAAATGGAAAGACATCCTGTTCTTGGATAGGCAAAACCAACATATTTAAAATGGCCATACATATGCAGAGTTATATAATCACAATAAAAATACTAACAGCATTTAGTACATGAGTAGAGAATATAATCCTAAAATTTGTATGGAATCAGAAGAGTCCTAAAACAAACCTGAGCACAAGAACAGGCAGGAGGAATAACAATTCTAGACTTCAAGTAACATTACAAAGCTAGTGATAAAAATTAACATGGCACTGACAACAAAACAAAACAAAACCAGATATATACATCAATGGGACAGAATAGAGAATAAAGAAGCAATTCCATGCACATTCAGAAACCTGACCTTTGACAAAGAGCCCAAAAACTCATGCTGGAGGAAAGATAGTCTCTTAAACAAATGCTGGGAAAAATGATTATTGACATGCAGAAGACTGAATCTACACTCATATTTCTGACCATACTAAACTAAAATAAAAAGATTAAATGTTAAAATGGAAACAATCTAATGATGGAAGATAAAACAGCAAATCTTTTAAAGACATTGGTATAGGCAAGGACTTTCTTAACAGAACCCAAATTGTACAAGAGATATCAAGAATCAACAAATGGGATTATATTAAAGAGCTTCTACACAGTGAAGGAAACAACCAATGGAGTAAAGAGACAACCTACAGAATGGAAAAAAAACTGCCATCTATTCCTTGGACAGAAGACTAATATCTAGAATACAGAAAGAACTCCAAAGAACTGACTCCCCTAAAGAAAAGACACAATTAAAAAGTGGGCAACTGAAATGAACAGTTACTTCGTAGAATAAGTATGGATAGCCAATAAATACATGAAAAAATTAGAGAAACACAAAACTAAAATTCTATCTTATTTCAGAAGGAATACCTATCATCAACAAGTCAACAAATGTTGGCAAGGTTGTGGGGGTAAAATCATTATGGAAATCAGTATGGAGATTCCTCAAAAAAAAAAAAAAAAAACTCAACTAAAACAAAAGGTTTCATTTGACCCAGCTATTCTCCTCCTAGTATGTTCCAAAAAAGTTAAAAGATATCATATTACACTGATAAATGCATACTCTATGTATAGTCATACAATTCATAATAACTAAATTTTGGAAATGACTTCTATGCTCATTAACAAGTGAATGCAGGAAGAAAATGTGGTATTTATACACAATAGGATACAACTTTACTATAAAGAAGGATAAAGCTGGGACATTTGTAAGAAATTGAATGTACCTTGAGACGACAACTAAAACATCAAGTTTAAATATCACATGGTTTCTATTATAAGAGAAACCTCAAGTATAAACAAAGAGTAAAGTAAAAGATAATAGGAAATAGCAAGATAGATCTTCTGCATAGAGGAAGCAGACCAAGAATTGGAGGGAATGGAGAAGAAGGGAAGTGGATTAAAAAAAAAAAGAATTAAAATGTGTTATGTACATGTACCAATTCCCCATATTAGTCCCCAAGGAATAGCTGGCAAAAATATTTTCTCATTCTGTGGATTTTCTCTTCATGGTTGATGGTTTTCTTCATTGGCAAGCTTTTTAAATGGATATGATCCCATTTATTCATTTTCTGTATTTCCTGTGCAATTGGGTTTTATTTATAGTCTTTCCCTTCACCTTCAAAAGTTTTACCTATTTTATCTTTCAGGAGTTTAAGTGTGTCTGTTTTAATATTTAGCTCTTTGATTCATTCCCATTTTAGTTTAGTGCATGGTGAGAGAAGGGAGGGAAGAAGAAAAAGAATAAAGGGAAGTAAAAGGAATTACGATGAGATACATATATATACCAATTTCCATGATTATACTGGTTTACTATATATAAAAGCAATACAGTTCTTTTTAAATTTTAAACTTGTATCCCATGCCCTTGCTTCCTTACCAGTTTTTGATATTGGTAGATTGAGATTTTCTGCACAATCATGTTGTCTACAAAGAAGTTAACTTTTATTCCAATTTAACTGCCTTTTATGTCTTTCTTACTCATCATATTTTGCTTCTAGGGTTGAACAGCAGTGATGAAAACTAGTATTTTTGTCTAGTCACCCATCTTAGGGGACAAGTGTTTATTTTATCATTAAGTATGTTATCTGCTGTACATTTTTGTAGATGCTCTGTATCAGATTAAGGAATTCTTGTGTTCTCAATTAGCTGAGTTTTTATCATGAAAGAATATTTGTGTTAGATGCTCTTTCTGCTTCTTTGTTTTAAATGGTCATGTAGACTTTTGTACTTCTGATTGGTTAATATAGTAGATTACACTGATTGATTTCTGAATGTTGAACCAGCTTTCTTTTCCCTCTTGTTCTTATTGCTTTCTCTGTGTGTATATGAAAGTAGGGAGGGGGTGAGGGAATTATAGTTTGTATCTAGATGTCCCCCCAAAGCCTCACGAGCTCATAGGTGGAGCTTTTCAGAGATGGCTGGAACTAGGGTATGTGATACTGGGGATAAGAATGTGTGGCACTAGGGTTGGTTTACCACAGTTCTGGGTGTGGATTATGGGAAGGCGCACCCTGAGTGTAGATAGTACCATCCAAAAGGCTTGTAGCCTGGAGGGGTAAAAGGGAGTGGGAGGCTTGTTTTTGCTGCTTGCTGCTGCAGCCTTGCCATGGACTGTTTGTCTTCTCAGTTACTTACCTTCTTCTGCCATCCTGCTTTAGACCCAGGTGACTATGGACTGAAACTCCTATAAGCTGTAAGCTAAAATAAACCTTTCTTCCTTTAAGCTGTGGATGTCAAGTATTTTGTTCATTGACTGACTCCAAAGTAGGGTGATATTGATATTTTGTTTCATTGTTAACAATGAAAAGTACCTAAGATAGGAATATATTAATTACTAAATTCTGTCTGGTAGCATTTTGTTGAGTGTTTTACTTCCATGTTTATGAGATGCATTATGTAGTCTATATTTTTGGAATTGTCTTAGTTTTATTTTGGTAATGCTAGACTTACTATTTTTTTTTCCAGTACTAGGAATCAAACTCAGGACCTCGCACTTGCCAGGCAAGTACTGTGCCACTGAACTATATCACTGGCCCAATACTAGATTTATTAAATGAGCTAGGAAATGACCCATCTTCTTCTGTATTCCATAGGACATTTGTGTTGTTTCTTCCTCAAGTGTTTAGAAGAACTTACCAATGAAACTCTCTAGGCTATAAATTTTCCTTTTTGTAAAATTTTAAAACAATGAATCCAATATATGTAGTTTGGTAGTCCTTTGACTTATGAACTCAATTCATTCCAGAGGGCTGGTTATAACTCAGGTTGTCACTTGAAGGCTCAGGGTCCTCAACACAGCCTTCAAAGTCTCTCTGCTATACATACAGGCAGATCTTCATGTCCTTAGAGAAGACACTGATCCAGGATTTTTCATTTAACCCCATACAGGAAAGAATATTGTAACGTTCCTTGCAGTATTCTTCAAGGGTTAAAATCTGTATTTGAGACCATTTGGAAGCACAAGTGGCTGGCACTCAGGTCATAACTTGAAACTTTGGTAGTAAGTTAAAAGTAAAATTATGGTCATAACCCAAGTTGTCTGTATTGTCAGGTTGGTCATAACTCAAGGGTCACTATACTCAGATTAAGTTTTTAACTTGTTTTTTGTCTACGGGGTTTGTAGCTGATATAAATATATTCCAAGTATAGGTAATGCCTGTTCCTGGGGCAAGCTGGTTAGAGGTTTACACATTTTACTGATTTTTTTTTCAAAGAAATGGACTTTAGTTTCAATTATGTTGCTGATGTTTTATGTTCAGTTGTGTTTCTTATTATTTTCATCTTTCTCAATTCATTTTGCTAGTTTCATAAACTAGAAGTTTGGATGATTTTTTTCTGATATTTGCCTTTGATGCTATAAAGATCCCTCTAAGGACTAATTTAGCTGCAGCCCATAAATTCTGTATGTAGTAAGTCCCTGACTTAGAAACATTTGAGTTGTGAACTTTCACAGGTATACCGTGTAAGACTCACTTTGTTGGTTTATGAACAAATCCAACTTGCAAACAATTCTCCCAGAATGGAACCCATTCATAAGTCAGGGATTTACTGTGCTGTGTTTCCATTTTCATGCACTTCATAATACTATCAGTTTCCCTGAAGACTTACTCTGATTCACAGATTATTTAGAAGTACGTTGTTTTGTTTCTAAATACATGGGGATTTTCTGGTTTATCTCTTTGTTACTAATTTGTAGATTAATGCCATTATAGACCAAGAACATTCTAAACATAGTTTCAGTTCTTTATACTTAATAAGATTTATTTTTATGACCCAGCATTTGTTCTATCTCGGCAAATATTTCAAATGCACTTGCGAAGAATGTATATTCCTTTGTTGCTGTTTGGAGTAATCTATAGAGATCAATTAGATTAAATCGGTTAATGGCATTATTCAGATGTATTCTGTATCTCTGCTGTTTTTGTCTACTTCTAGCAATCAGAGAAAAGAGTAGTGCTAATATCTGCAACCATAATTTTAGGTTAATTTGTTTTTCTTTTCAGGCCTTGTTATGGTTTGTGTCTGGATATCCTCCCAAAGCCTAAAGCAGTCTTCCGGGTGCGGGCTTTTTGGAGGCAGCTGAATCCATACCGTTTGTGATTGGTACAGTGTCTAGTGCTTGGATTAGCAGTGTAAGTGCTAAACCTGCTCTAGGGATAGTCTGCATACAATAAAAAGAAGGGAAAGAGACTTGCTCTACCCTGCTTTTTGCTCTTGCTGCTTTCACTGCCTTCAGTGGCCATGCACTGTTTGCCCCTCTGCCTCACCACCCTATTTTGGAGTCAGTCAATTATGGACCGAAACTCCTAACTGTGAGGAAAATAAACCTTTCTTCCTTTAACTTTAGGTGTTATTTTGTGTCTTAGCAACAAAAGTAACTAAGAAAGTCCTGTTAGTTTTTTTCATATTTTCTAAAAGTCTGTTGTTATATATACACACTTTTAGGATTGTTATATAATCTTGGTGATTGTTACATAATCTTTTATTGTTATATATTATTTTTTCCATAGTAATTTTTTTTTGACCTGAAGTCTATTTTGTTGAATAAAACTATAGCCACAATAGCATTCTTTTGATTAGTAGTTACCTGGTATATCTTCTCTTACCCTTTTACATTTAACCTATAGTTTTTGGGGCTGGGGATCTAGCTCAATGGCATAAGCACCTGCCTTGCAAGCAGGCAGTCTTGAGTTTGATCCCTGGTACCAATAAATAAATAAATAAATAAATAAATAAAATAAAATGAAGTTTTTGGAGACTATATATATGTCTTATTAAAAATTCAATCTCACAATTTCAGTCTTATTTGGCTCAAAAGTAATCTTGATATGACTAAATTTAAGCATTCTATTTTAGGATTGTTCTTGTCTCTTCTTTTTCACTTTTCTCTTTTCTAGATTTCTTTCAAATTATTTGAATATTTTCAAATTTTAATTTATATATTAGCTTTCTTTTAGTATATCTCAAAGGTTTTTAGTGGTCACTCTAAAGATTATGTTTACATATTCAAGTTTTTATTGTCTAATTCTACTTAAAGTATTTTTGCCACTTAATGTGAAATACAGAACTTTGTAATAATATAGATTCATTTAACTCTCTCCTTCATACTGTTTCCAAATGTAATACCAACATGCCATGCCAGAAAATATTATAATTTTTTTCTATTGTCATAGATATTATTAAAATCTTCACAAAAAAGCCAGATGTAGTGGTGCATGCCTATACCCCCAGCACTCAGGAGATGAACAGGAGGGTTGCTGCAAGTCTGAGGCCAGTGCTACAAAGTGAGTTCAAGGCCAACCTGAACTGCATAGCAAAATCTTGTCTTGAGGGGCTGGGGATTTAGCTCAGCGGCATAAGCGCCTGACTTGCAAGTGTGCAGTCATGAGTTCAATTCCTGGTACTGATAAAAATGAAAAAGACAAAAAAATTTTTTTTTTAAAAATCTTGTCTTGAAAAGACAAATAAATAAATAGAAAGCCTATTATATGTATCCAAATAATTACTATTTTTGTGGCTCTTTAGTCTTTCCTGGTATTTTAGATTCCTTGACATCGTTTTTCTTTTCATCAGACTGAATAATGTCTGTTGCTCTACACTAAATTTTATAGACTCCATTTGTCAACTCTTCTGTTGACTAAGCCTCTCCAAATTATCTACTTTTTATTTAGTTGTGTATCTTGAGTTCCATATATTCTTTTTTCCTTTTTTTAAGCCCACTTTTATATTGTTTCTTCTCAGCTAATCTTCAATCTAGACTCTAGAAGTAGAGTCTACAGAATCACTATTACTTGGATAATTGTAAAATTGAGGTGGAAGTTATACTATATTAAAAAATACTGGCATATCTGGAAGTATAGTTAAGTGGCACAGTGCCTGTTTAGCATGTGGAAGGCCTTGGTTCAAGCCTCAGCCATGTGTACACACACACACATGAAAAATGATTCATAAGAAATGAGATTCTAATTGTAGCTCCTGTCACCACCTTTTCTGTGTCTTTGTTTCTTCACCTACAAAATAAATAACACATGTCTAGTATTAAGTTTCTTGTTAGCACTAAGTATGCATCACTTACTCTTTCAATTTGTTTTTCCATTTCTTTATGTTGTTCAAGATGAATCTTCTTTGCTTTTTCAAAAGCTAAACAAATTTTCTCATGTTCTGTATTTATATTGGTTTCTAGACTCCTTATCTTTTCACTCTTTTCCTATAAATACAAAGTATTTTAGAAGACCATAATTAAAACTAGTTTTACAAAAAATACATTAGTCTCTTATATCTGTCATACTCTATTCTTTTTTTAAAAAAATTTTTTTTACCAGGAATCGAACTCATGACCATGTGCTTGCAAGGCCACTGAGCTAAATCCCCAACCCCCGCTTTTTTTTTTTTTAATTTTTCATCCTCTATTCTTTAAAGAACTCCAGTAGTTAATACTTTAAAAGGAAAGTAAACTATTTTAAAACATTAAGACCTATCAAATAACTACCATTCCTTCAATTTTATTAAGATTAAAAAAAAGTAACAAGCTTGGTGTGGTGGTACACACTTGTAATCCCAGTACTTGGGAGGCTGAGGCAGAAAAACCACTGTGAGTTCAATGCCAGGACAGGTTACATAGTGAGACCCTGTCTCAAAACAAACAAACAAACAAAACAAAACATCAAAAAAACCAGGGTCAGTGATAGCTTAGTGGCACAGTGCCTTTCTGGCAAACGTGAAGTCCTGAGTTTGATTTCCAATAGCTACCCCCACCAAAAAAACCTTGTATAACAACTTGTCACATTAGCCCATTAACTTAAAAATCTAAAAACAAACAGAAGGACACAGATAAGAAGAGCTTAGAATTTATACTTTCTATATAATTATAGAAAAACAAACATTTCTCAAGTCAAGTGCCTAAATGTCACTTGTAAATTTCCAGGACAAAGGGTGAATTTTACCATAAGCTCCTGTTCAAGTTCCGCATTTTTTGCAGCAATAGAGGAATAAGCAACTATTTTATCTTCTAGCTGTTTTTCTAGTGTTAAAAGTTGAGAACATTTCTTTGTCATCTAAAACATAATGAAATAAATACAAAATTAGTTTTAAAAAGTAATGACTTCACATCCTAAAATCAAATACTTGTTCTTCTTTTCAAAGCTTAAATATATTGTATCTAAATACACTGGGTAAATTTATGGAAATAAACAGAGTACAAAGTAAATCATCTTTTAATCCTCACAAGTGTAAGAAAAACAAATAGCAAAAGGAAAACCAGAGATATGTATTATCTATACAATACATAAGCAATTTAATTCAGACTTTACTATCCAAATAGGATTATGTCCTAGTTCAGTTTTTTTTTTTTTTTTTTCTTTTTTTGTATTTTAACCGGTACCAGGGATCGAATTCACGACCACAGGCTTGCAAGGCAGGCGCTTTTGCCACTGAGCTAAATCCCCAGCCCCCCAGGTCAGTTTTTAAAAGGAGTTGTTACAGGGACTAGGGATACAGTACCTGCCTGCCAAGTGCAAAGTCTTGAGTTTGATTCTGATACCAAAAAAAAGTCGTTACAGACTAAAATTAGTATTTAAAAATGCTGATAGCAATTATTTCTGGTAGTAGAATTATCAGTGGTTTATTTTCTTTTTCTCTTTCTGTATTTTCAAAATGTTCAGTAAGGCTGTGTTAATTATGTTATTTAAAAATAAATTAATTATGCTATTTAAAAATAATATTAATCTCAATACTTGACAGTTTTCTAAGTCTAAATCTTACAGACTAAATCTTCTTTTCCATTATTAAGTTTCAATTCCATAGACTAAATCTTCTTTTCCATTATTAAGTTACAATTCCTTAAGATTTCTTTGGCCTTGGCTATATACTTTGAATATAAAAACAGACATTTAAAAATGCCCCTATTGGGGTCCAGGATATAGCTCATTGGCACAATGTCTGCCTGGCAAGCATGAGGTCCTGAGCTTGATTCCTGGTACAAAAAAAAAAAAAAAAAAAAGCACCTATAGATAATTGGATAATTGTAGCTTCTAGTTTGATGGCTGAGTATAACATACATACGTATTACCCCTTTTCAGGATACAATACATAGCATATCTGTGTTAGATTCATATAAAGTTGTTTAAAATTGATTCCTAAGGGGTGGGGATGTAGCTTAGCGGCACAGTGCTGCTTGTCTAGTGTGAGATCCTGAGTCTGATTCCCAGTACTCTTCCCACTCCTCACCAAAAATACATTTTTTTAAAGGGCCAGCAGCACAAGAATCTGTCTGGCAAGTTGCAAGGTTCTCAGTTGAATTCCTGGTACCAAAAAGACAATTGATTGCTAAGCTACTTCCCTGACATACTGAATTAACATTGCTAAAAAAGGACCCAGAAATCTGACAGGCTTCCTAGGTGATTAAGATATTTGCTAAAATTTAAAATCCTCTATTGCCTCTTCTTTTCTTTCAACTACAAAACCAAATTCTTTACTTGTAAATATGTATTAATCATCTTAACTTACACTTCGGAAGAAAGACTGAAACACAGTATTAACTGCACCAAGTCTGGAGCTTTTTAGCCACCAGGGAATACGTGCCTACTTTTAAATATTAAAACAGAAAAATTCCCAATTAGAATTTTAAAAAGAATTTATAATTTATGTGGAATCATTTTACAAAAATAAACTTATAAATCTAGACTTAAATTGTTATAAACCCTCACAATAATATCTTTTTCTTATCAAAATTTTATACATATACCCAACTAAGCCAAGCTTACTTCACTTTCTAGTTTACTAGAATTCGAAGCTTTCTCTAGTAGCTCCTCTTGAATCAGCTGAAACTGACTAGTTCTGTGAGCCATGTTAACTTTCAAATCACAATTCTCAGCTTCTATTTGCATCAACTTAGTACGTAGCTCCTCTATTCCAGTAGCAAGTTTTTGCCTCTCTCTTTCATACTGCTTGTTCACAGTATATTGACTTCGATCTTTTATTCTCTCTGCTAATACAAACAAAAGGAAAACCATAGAATAAAAATCTAAACAAGACAATCATAAACAAAGTTTAGTTTCTTATTTAAAGAATAAAAGGGATTCAGAATGAAACATACAATAAGGAAAACATGTAAGGAATATGGCAAATAAGTCAGTTTTTTGTTTTGTTTATCTTTTTGTGTTGGTGGTATTAGGGCTTGAACTTGAAATCCTCCTGCCTCAGCTTCTCAGACTGCTGAGATTACAGGTATGCCAACTGAGCCTGGCTCCAAGTAGAGCATTTTCTAAATTAAATACACAACAAAGAGAGGGGAAAGTTCTTTTGAATCATTCACTTTTCCAAATAACTAAAAATTACTCTTTATGTTATAATTTTTCTATATCAAAAAGTGCTACCCATTTTTTAATATCCTATTTTTTCAATAAAATTATTATTTAAAAACCTCGTTGTCATCATTTCCTTAATCTATCATTAATTATAAAATTAATTTGGACAACTTTAAGAATATTTTTATGTATAGGTGCAAACAGTGCATCCTTTTTTTTTTTTTTTTTTTTTTTTTTTTTTTGATGCCGGGGATTGAACTCACTACCTCGCATTTGCCAAGCAGGCACTTAAGCCACTGAGCTAAACCCCCGGCCAGAGCACACTTTCTAATCATATTTTTCTCCTCTAAAAACTAGCAGATGAAAACAATGATTTTTTTAAAACTACAGAGAGCTGGGTCAGTGGTACATGCCTGTAATCCCAGCACTCGGGAGGCTAAGGCAGGAGGACTGTTGCAAGGCCAGGCTGAACTGCATAGCAAGACCCTGTTTCAAGACAATAAATAAATAAATAAACAAATAACAAACTACTGAGGATTTTCAGAGGTAGTTGTTTGGCTATGTGTTTCTCCACTAGAAATATATATGTTTACTCCATAGTAACTGAGCTCTCAGAAGTACTCTAATTAAACAGGAATGATGTAGGTGATTATGTAAGAACATACATGTGAAAAGAAAGAAAGATACACTTTGCCTTAAAGGGTAGGGTAAGTAGTCATTTGCTATCAACTCTCCATATATACAATATTTCATTTTCTAGACTACCTGTCATTGGCAATATTTTTCTTTCATCTCAGAAAACCTATGATACTTTATATCACCAGCTCTAATAATTCCTCTAAGCACATCATCCTTGTCTTAGTTACTTTTTTATTGCTGAAACAAAATATCCAACACCCAAAGTTAAAGGAGAAAAGGTTTATTTCAGCTCACAGTTTGCAGAGGCTGATCTATAGTTGGCTGGCTCTAAGAGAGCGCAGCATGGCTGAAGAGAAACAGTCCATGGCAGGGCAGCCAGGAGGTATGAGGAAGGAAGGAAGGAAGGAAGTTTGTATGATTTCTTTTCCCCCTTTATTCCAATATATTCCATCATGGCTATAAGCCTGTTGATTTGTGTTACCCACATCTAGAGTGGGGTTTCCATTGTCCATACCCAGAACTATTTATTTATCTCAAATCCTTTAATCGAAGGATCTCACACTCCAGAGCCAGCCATCTCTTAGAAATCCTACCTATGAGTGCATGTAGTTTTTCAGGGACATCTAAATATAAGCCATAACAATTCTCTTCCCTATTCTAGTAACTTAGATATCCGATTTTCTGTCATTTCTGCTGCTAATAGACCATTGCCTGTAAAGACAGAATATTAAAAAGATGAATTTGTTAAGCCCTTAGGGCAACTATAGAGATAAAAAATGAAATGGTAAAATATATTTGGTTCAAAAGCAGAGGGGAGCTGGGCATAGTGGTGCCTGTAACCCCAGCACTGGGGGGCTGAGGCAGAAAGATCATTGGGAGTTGAATAAAAAGCAAGCAAGAAAGATGAATAAAATGAAATAAATAAGTGTTACTGTTTAGATCTAAAATGTTTTTCCAAAAGCTCATGTGTGGAGAAGATGTGCTTCTGGCAGGTGATTAGGTCATAAGGTCTAATTTCATCAGTCAATTGGTTCACTGGTAGCATAACTGATGGCATTATTGGAAAGTGACAGAAATAAAAAGTAGAGGCTACTTGAAAGGAGTGTATCACAGGGATGTGACCTTGGGGACTATTTCTGGTATGCAGCCCCTTCCTCTCTAGCTCTTTTCCTTTTTCTATGCTCCCTGGCTACCCTGAGATGAGCACTTTCCTCTGCCACACCCTTCTGCCATGCCTCTGCCTTGTCACATGCCTAAAAGCAATGGGGCCAGCTGACAATGGACTGAAAAGTCTGAAACCATTAGACAAAATAAACTTTTCCTCCTTTAATTTTATTTATGTCAGATACTATAAAAGGTCCAAAAGTTTGAAAAACGCAAGTGCAAAAAAAACCCAACGATAGTAGAATAAACTTTAAGATATTAATAGTTACATTAAATACAAGTGATCTAAACATCTGAAGAAAGTTCTAATTAAAAAGTAAAAACTGAGATTAGAAATAAAAGCAATATCCAATTACATGTTTTCTATAAGAATTTCACTTTATATACAAAGATAAAGGTTCAAAGGTGGGACAAAAATCAAACTGGACAAACACTAATCAAAAAAAGCCAGAAGCAGAATAGCACTAATTGCAAACAAAATAGTCTTAAAATAAGGAATATTACCAGGAACCAAAGAGACATTTAACATAATAAAAGAATGTATCTAATAAGAAGATATAGTAATCTTAAATGTTTAAGTATATAATATCTTTAAAATATAAGAAGCAAAAGCCAGGCATGGTGGTACATGCCTGTAATCCCAGCACTTAGAAGGCTAAGGCAGGAGGATTGTTACGAGTTTGAGACCAGCCTGGGCCACAGAGTGAGCTCAAGGCCACCTTAACTGCATAGTGAGACCCTGTCTCAAAAAGACAAAAAAAGTGGTGGTGGTGGAGGGAATTGGGATTGGGGATGTAGCCAGTGGCGTAAGTGCTTGCCTGGCAACTGTAAGGTCACAAGTTTAACACCCAGTACCCACCCCCCAAAAAAAGACAAAAAAAAAAAATACAAGTATAGATTGACAGAACTAAAAGCATAAGTAAAAAAGCATACATAGATCTGAAGATTTCACTATCACTCTGTAAATAATTGATAGGACAAGTACACAGAAAATCACTAAGGATAAAGAGAGCTTAAACAGTATCAACTGGACATTACTAATATTGAGACAAAATACTCAATTATTGATATGATCTTTTTGTTCAAGTCTACTTGAATGTTCAACAAGATAAACCAAATGCTGCATAATAAACCATCTCTTAAAATGCTACTAAAATACAATATCTGGGCCAAAATTTAGCTCAGCAGTATAAGTGCCTGCCTGGCTAGCACAAGGTCATGAGTTTGATTCCTGGTTTCAAAAGAATACACACACACACACACACACACACACACACACACACACACACAATCTGGGCTGGGGGATCACCTCAGTGATAGCATTAATGCTTAGCATGCAGAAAGCCCCGAGTTCAAGCCCCAGCAGCAACAAAAAACAATAAACATGATATAAAGCACGCTCTCTGATTACCACTAATGATGCAAAGATGTAGAAAATCTTCCAATATTTAAAATAAAACACACATAGCCTAAAAGTCAAGCAATTATTTATAAGATATATTTTCAACTGAATGGAAATGAAAATACAACACATAAAATAATGAGATAAAGCCAGAAAATTGTTTAAAAGTAAGTTTACCCCTTACATATTTATATCAGAAGAGGTCCAAAAATGAACGATCCAAGCTTTCATTATGAGAAGTTAAAAGAAAAAGAAAAAATTAGGGGCTGGAGGTTTAGCTCAGCGGCATAAGCGCCTGCCTTGGAAGCAGGCAGTCGTGAGTTCGATCCCCGGTACCGATAAAAAGGAAAAAGACAAAAAAAAAAAAAAAAAAAGAAAAGAAAAAAATTAAACCTAAAGTAAACTGAAAAGGAATACAAGGGATTCTGATGGAAATGCATTACATCTCGATTGTGCTGATATTGTATAAAGGTGTAAATATATTAAAAAACAAACATGTAACAAAATTTACCAAATTGTACACTTAAAATAGGTGCATATTATTGGATGTAAATTTTAAATCAATAAGGTATATTTCTCAAATGATGCAAAGCCCAAGAATTCTGAGACAATTTTTGCTCTCTTAGCAGAGCATAAGTACTAGTACTAACAGATTATCAAGTATATATGTCAACAGAAACCAGTTGCTAATTTGTTCCTTTAAAATACTACCACCAAGAATACTGGTTACATTTATTTATTTACTTACTTACTTACTTACTTATGTATTTATTTATTGAGACAGGGTCTCACTATGCAGTTCAGACTGGCCTCAAGCTCACTCTATAGCCCAGGCTGGTCTCAAACTGGCAGTGATCCTCCTGCCTCAGCCTCCCAAGTACTGGAATTACATGTATGCACACCAACCCTGGCTCCACATTTATTAAAATAATTTAATATAGGATACTCACCGACTCGATCACCACCTAGTTTTACAGGTTCTGTTTCTAAAGCATTTAATTTGCCACTTTCTTGACTATCTTTAGAAAGAGTAAGATTCTGAGATAACTGATTTGCAGTCAGATTTGCATGAAGCTTCTGAATTTCTGCTTCTTTTATTGCAAGTTTAATCCTATCAAAAGAAAAGTGGCCAAAAGTTACTAGGAAAATTCTATAAAAATACTTGTTTTACATTCTGAGTTGGGAAAAATTTTTAAATTCTGATACTGTTCAACTATTCTACAGCTATACCACCCTGGATATATATGACCTTGTCTAATACTGTTCAGCTCTTAAGATATAGAAATTCTCATGCATCATTAGTAGGACGATAAATTAACCAATCACTTTCCACACTTAATAACTAGTAAACTTGAAAATGTAGAAACTCCAGGACTGAGTAATTTCACTTTTAGAAATATATATAAAATATTTTTTCACATGCATGTACAAGGAATCTTATATGGGGATTTTTTTTTTGTAATTCTGCTTATAATTAAAAGAAAAACTGAGACAAGGTAACTACCAATAAAAATGGATAAATTAATTATGGCAGAATTCTAGGAAGAATCTATTTTTCTGTATAAATCTCAATTCCTATATAGCTATCACAAAAGTAAACTAATCACATAATTCCATCTGTTAATCAATCACTCTATCTCAACACAGATGGATTTTTAAAATAATGATAGCAAGGCTGAGTGGCACAGGCCTATAATCTCAGCACTCAGAAGGTTGAGGAAACAGAATCTCAAGTTCAAGGCCAGCCTAGGCTACACAGCGAATTCAATGCCAGCCTGACTCAAAAACAAAAAGCAAAAAATAAAAAACACCAAAATACCAAAAATGATTCTGAGTGGAAAAATAAAATTATAAACAATACATATAAGTACATTTAATATTAGTGTAGATGAATATAAACATACATAATATAGATAGAAAAATATATGACCTATTTATAATGGTGGAGAATGGAACTAGCAAAGATTAAAGGATGTTATCCACCTTATTTTATTTTTATTTAGAGAAATATTTGAAACAAACATCACAAAATATCAAGAAGAATTAATTCTTAGTTGTGCAATCAAATGTTTGTTATAATATTCTCTGGGCTGTTTTATAGTTTAAAATTTTTCAACTAGGCATCTTTATTTAATTACTAACAAAAAATCATTCTTTTTTTTTTTTGTCTTTTTCATTTTTATCGATACGAGGGATCAAACTCATGACCACCTGCTTGCTGAGCTAAATACCCAGCCCCAAAATCATTCTATTTGCTATAACTTCAAAATCATATACCTCAATTCTGAAATCATCAATTTATTTGCCTCACAGCAGCCAACAAAACTTTCTTCTTTGTTTGACAAACCACTCATCTGGTGCTTAGAATGAGACGATTTAAAACCAAGTATTTCTCTTTTGAACTGCAGGTTTAAAACAAACATTTGTAATATTAACTTAGGATGTAACTGTTTATTAAAACTCAAAGTCTGAAAAAATTATATGAATTCAATGGCAACAGCCTAATGTCCATCAATAGAATGTACAAAATATTTAGATCATAGGAAAACTATAATAGTTAAATAAATGAGTTATATAAACCAATATGGATACATTCCATAATGTAATACTGAGTTAAAAAAAAACATATAGTATTTTTTTTTTATTGGTACCAGGGATTGAACTCACGACTGCCTGCTTGCAAGATAGGCGCTTATGCCGCTGAGCTAAATCCCCAGCCCTTCATATAATATTTTTGAAAATGCATTAAACAATGTATTTCTAGATGTATTTTATATGTGGCAGTAAGGTATAGGTAAGAAAAATACACATAAATCTAAGAAGAGTTGCTACTTTTGAGGAGAAAGAAAATGGATCTGACAAACTACATAAAGAGGCTTTACTTATAAAATTAATTCTAAAAATATCTCAAGTTAATATAGCAATGTGTGTCTTATATTTTATAAATGCTAAGCTGCGTTAGTCTCTGTACTTTCCTTCCTGAAGGAACAATACTGAATCTTTAAAAAGTTATAAAGAGAGAAAAATATGTCCTTAATGATTGCCACCTTCAAACTATTACCAAATCATATTTTTTAGAAATTAAAAAATTCACATTTCCAAACCACAACATTAGTACTTCATGAAATATAGAATCAAGTCTATATCACCATAAACCTTCTGAATCACATATTAAGTAATTTTTGGGCCGGGGATTTAGTTCAGTGGCATAAGCACCTGCCAGGCAAGCACGAGGTCATGAATTCGATCCCTGGTACCAAGAAAAAAAAAAAAAACAAACCAGCAATTCTTGACACTGAGTAAAAAAGAGAATTTTAATTTAAATTGAATGCATATGCTAATTTCAATTTCAAAAGAAAACATAGTATATTAAAAATCTCAGCAAATGTTCAGTATCCTAGAATGCAGACCCAGGAGATGGCTGGAAGTCAAGAATCAGTTGTTTCACCTTAAATTCTGCTACTTGCTAACCATTTACTTTTAAATCTAATGTTCTTTGCTGATAAAATGATATTGAGTCAGATGATTTCTATGATTCTTTTCAGTTTCATAATTCCCTGGTTTAGACCATTTTGAAACTTGTTAGAATATACCATTCACTCCAATCTACATTCAAAAATAAAACTGAAAATAACATATTTATCTATAATTACCATATTTATCTATTTCTAGCTTTCTATTTTTCATCTTTATTTCACACTCATCAATGACAAGTTCCTGACATAGGTATACTCATTTTTTTCATAATGTGGCATATATTTTATATATATATATATATATATATATATAGACAGCGAGAGTGAGAAAGAAAGAGAGAGAGACAGAGAGAGAGAGAAAGAAAGAAGGTACCTTAGTTCATGAACTTACTTTTTTTTATGATTCTGGTCACAAACCAAATTGGAAGATAATTAAATCAAACTTCCCCATAAGGTCAACATGGAACCTAGTCACTGAACTTGATTCAGTTCTAGTCCAGTTCAATTTGTGACCAGAATCTTAGAATGAATTAAGTTCATGAACCAAGGAACTACCATATATATACACACATATATATTATATATATTCACATAAAGAGTAAAGGTGGCAGACCATTACCACAAAAATATTTCAAAGTTCTACGACATTCTATTCATTCTTTCATTCATTTTTTAATTTTGTAGTTCTAGGGATTGAACAGAGGGCCTTGTACAGGCTAGGTAAATGTTCTGCTATCAAGCTACAGCTCCAGGCCAGTTCTATGCCATTCTATAAGCACATGCAAAGTTGCTCAACATCAGTCATCAAGGAAACGCAACTTTAAACTACAATATGATACCACATCATACTCACTAGCATAGCTATAAACAAAAAGACAGACAATATGTGTTAATAAGGATGTAGAGAAAAACATCCACATACTATTGGTTGAGAATGTAAAATGGTGCCCATTTTGGAAAACAGTTTGGCATGAATTTACCATATGACCTAACAATTCTCCTAGTTATCTACCCAAGAGAAATAAAAACATGTCCACACAAAAACTTCTGTGCAAATGTTCATAGCAGCATTATTCATAATAACTTAAAAATGAGAATAACACAAAAGTCTATCAACTGACAATTAAATAAAACATGGAATTATCCACATAATGGAATATTATTGACCAATAAAAATAAAATAGATATATGAATGACTCTCAAAGATATTAAAAATGTGAAATGACACATACAAAAGATTACTATGACTTTGTTCAAATGAAATACTCTGAAAACACAAATGTATAGAAGCAGTAACTATTAATGCTTTCCTAAGTGTGTGTGTGGGTCTGAAGGCACTAATTATAAAGTAGCACAAGTAATCTTTTGGGGATGAAAGAAAAGTTTGAAACTATTGTGGTCAAAACATTTGTAAAGGGGCTGGGGATTTAGCTCAGCGGCATAAGCACCTGCCTTGCAAGCAGGCGGTCGTGAGTTCGGTCCCCGGTACCGATAAAAATGAAAAAGACAAAAAAAAAAAAAAAAAAAAAAAAAAAAAACATTTGTAAAATCGGGCTGGAGATTTAGGTCATTGGCATAAGCCTTGCACTGCCTAGCAAGTGCGTGGTCGCGAGTTCAATGCCAGTACCGATAAAAAAAAAAATTGCTAAATCACTACAATTCAGTGAATAGTATACTTTCAAAGGATGAATTTTACAGTATGCAAATGAAATGTCTATAAAGCTGCTTTTCAAAAAATTGTGCCATTCCTAGATATGGCTTCTGAGAAACTATGAAAAGATGTAAGAAAAGTTAAATGGGAAAAACAGGGATTAGATAGAAAAGAAATAGGTGACTGAAAGCACAATAGGGAAAAAAAAAGCTAATAAGGAAACCAAAAAATTATGGTCTTTCATAAAACACACCAATGAAATCTCTTTTCCATTATGTAATCAAGAACAGCACACTTCTTTCATATATGCTTACTGGTAACTGTGATATCATTTTTTCCAAACTTCTTAGTTCTACCCTTGAGTTTTCAATTTCCTGCTGACACAAATCCAGTCGTTCATTCTGTGTTGCAACTCGGACCTTTAATTCTCGATTTTCATCCATTAGAGAAAACTTTTCTCTCAGTATTTCCTCTTTGTCCTCTAACTCACTTTCTAACTTTAGAATACTTTGCCTAGATTCAGTCAATTGTGTTATGACTTCTGAATTTCTCACTGCCATAATTCTTAATTTTTCTTTTCCATTGTTATGTTCTTCCTTCAAATGCCTACAAAGAAAAAAAATTTAAAATAAAGTGTGTTCATTTTCAGTAATTGCATTTAGATAGAGCTCATACCTTGGTACTTGACTGCTTTGAAATTGAATTTGGTACTCGATGCATTTTTTTAACTTGTAAAATTAACTGCAATACTATTTCATAATGTAATTAAAACAATTAAAATACTCTCATGTCTTTAGCATGGTATTGCTTCCATCCCTCCTCGTCCAGCAGGTGGCACTGTCCTCGCGGCAGGATGGAGGACCTTGTGCAACTCCAGAGCCCATGCAGCCACCGTGGCGTGAGTGCTTCCACAGCGACTCCACTAAAACCGTCCTGAGCAAAGAGCGGGCAGTGCTCTGCCCAGAGGCTACAGGGGCGTCATATCCGCAGGGGTTTCAGATTTGCTTAGAAGAGAAGTTCAGCGTTTTTCTGGTCTGGGTGCACTGAAAAATTTCTGAGGTACTGGGATTGCTGTAAACACACAAAGCCACGCCCTCTGGGAACGCAGGTGGCTGTCAGGCAGATTCACCGTGAGGCCCAGAGACCCCATGTCGCCGCTGCCCTCTATATAGCAAGGGCCACGGGCAGGCACAGGACACCCACAAAGTTTTTTCCCCTTTGTTAGGTATTCAGTGCACAAGCTGGAACTTGTCAATGTCTATTGCCTTGTGACTTACTTTTTCCAGCGAAAATAATTTCTTTTAGTTGTTTCGATTTTTTTTTTTTTTTTTTTTGTCTTTTTGAAACAGTGTTTCACTATGCAGTTCAACTGGCTTTGAACTCACTTTATAGCCCAGGCTGGTATCAAACTTGCAGTGACCCTCCTGCCTCAGTCTCCCAAGTACTGGGACCACAGCTGTATGCCAGGACGCCAGACTTTGTTTGGTTATTTTTGATACTTATTGTGTCTCCCAGAAACAATAAAGGGCAAATGCCAAGATACCTATTATTTTAAAAATTTCTTGAAACAAGGGGCCTAGGGATTTAGTTCAGTATCAGAGCACTTGCCTACTATGTGCCAGGCCTAGTTTAAGTGGTAGCACTGAAAAACAGATTTTTTTTAAAGCTTAACAGTCAAGGACACAAGAAAACTATAGGTCAATATCCTTGATAAATATAGATGGAAAAACTGTCAACAAAATACAAGCAAACTCAATATAAGAATGCATTAAGATTTTTCCCCATCCTCAAGTGGTATTCATCCCAGGGATGCAAGAGTGATTCGACATACACAAATCAGTAAACATGCTATACCACATCAACAAAATGAAGAACAAAACCATGTGATCATCTCAAAAGATGGAGAAAAGGTATTTGATAATCAATATCCCTTCATTATAAAACCAGTAAGCTAAATAGGCTTATAAGGAACATATTTCAACACAATAGAGGCTATCATATATAATAAGCCAACAGTTAACATTACACTGAATAAAGAAAATCTGAACACTTTTTCTGTAAAATTTGAACCAAGAAAAGGATGTTCTCTTTTACCACTTTTATTCAGCATGGTACCAGGAGCCCTAGCCAGCGCAAACAGGCAAGGAAAAGAAAGAAAGAGCAACTAAATTGGAAAAGAGCAAGTTGAACCTGTCACTTTGCAGACAACATGATCATATACATATAGAAAACCTAAAGACTACCAAAGACCAGACTTAGTGAATTTGGCAAAGTTGCAGGACACAAAATCAATGTACAAAAATAAATAGCATTGTTGTATGCTAACAGTGAACAATCTAAAATAGAAATCAAGAAAGCAATGCCACCTACAATAGCTGCCCCTCAAAAAACAAAACAAAACCAAAAATTCCTAGGAATAAATTTAACTAAAGAAAGGAAAGCTTTCTACGATGAAATTCATAAAAAAACTGATAAAAGAAACTAAACAAGACACCAAAAAAAAAAAAAAAGAAAAAAAGTGTTCACAAGGAATCAATATTGTGAAAATGTCTATGCATTTAGCATCAACAGATTCAATGTCTTCTCTATCAAAATACCAATGGCATTCTTTACAAAACTAGAGAAAATACAGTTAAAATTTGTTTGGAACCATTAAACCCCCAAATGACTAAAAGCAATACATTATTATTTCTTAATAGTCAAACCAATCTTAAAAAAAAAGAAAGCAAGAGGCATCACAGTGTCTTATTTTAAGATAACACTACATAGCTACAGTAATAAGAACAGCACACTATTGGTATAAAGACAGATACATAGCCGAGTGGAACAAAACAGAGAACTCATAAATAAAGCTATACATCAACACCCAGATGTTTTGTTTGTTGGTCGGCTGGCTAGTTGGTTGGTTGGTTTTTTAATACGTAGTTCTGGCTGGCCTTGAACTCACTATATAGCCCAGGCTGGCCTTAAACTCATGGCAATCCTCCTACTTCAGCTCCCCTAGTGCTGGGACTATAGGCGTGTGCCCAGCTCCAATTGATTTTTGACAACTGAGTTAAGAACACACACTGGAGGACAGGTAGTCTATTCAATAAATGGTGCTAAGAAAATAAAAATCCATATATAATTAAAAGATTGAAATTAGATTCCTATTTCTTGTACAGATTTTTTTTTTAATCGGTACCAGAGTTCAAACCCATGACCTCCTGCTTGCAAGGCAGGTTCTTATGCCACTGAGCTAAATCTCCAGCCCCTAGACTCCTATTTCTTGCCAGTCACAAAAGTCAACCAAATATAGATTAAAGACTTTAAGACCTGAAACAATGGGGCTGGGGATTTAGCTCAGTGGCATAAGCACCTGCCTTGCAAGCAGGCAGTCATGAGTTCAGTCCCTGGTACCGATAAAAACGAAAAAGACCAAAAAAAAAAAAAAAAAAAAAAAAAAAAAGACCTGAAACAATAAAACTACTAGAAGAAAATATCAGGGAAATATTTTAGGACATTGGCAATCCCTACTAGTAACAATGATATAAAATTTTTTTAGAAAATAAAAATTTAAGTGATAAAGTACTGTATCATAGTGCAATTAACATTTTTCTTAAAGTATATCTACAATTGACAGCATCAGATTCTAGTAAGTACGCTAGTTACACAAAGTAACAATTATGTAATCTGTAATTCCTCCTTCCCCAAACAAAAATACTAAATGCATTACCTTAAGAAAAATATTAAAATTAGTCAAAACAGTTATTTCGACAATCTGAGGTGAGAAAACCTGATTAATATTAACCTCTGAGAGTTTACAGGAATTAACATGATATCCTGGTGAGAGAACAGGAATCAAAATACCTTCATTTTTTGATCTTAGATAAATAAAGGTTATTCTTTGGGTCTCTGTTTCTTTATTTACAAAACAAGGTTAGACTTCTTCATATTTAAAAAATTCTTCTTATTTGAGCATCTTTACTTGCCAGTTAATGCAATCATACTATGAAAACATGTCTGTGTTAATTTCCTCTAAATATATGAAAAGCACATATGATCAGTATTACTGTTTACAAGAATATTAACATTAACGTATTTTATTACTTAAAATTGTGACATTATACCTAGAAAACAATTTCAGTCATAAAACTTATCCTTCTACATTTTGAAGGTCCATATTACAATATACAAACTCATGTTTTTAAATGTTTCAGTTTTTCCCATTTCCACACCAAAACCTCCCCCCAAACACAGTAAGTAAATAGAGTACAATACCTTAATTTTTCCTTCAGAATTTCAAGTTCACTTTTATACAGGTCACACTTTTCTTGTAGCCTTTTATTTTCTTTTTCACAGTTAACTAGATTTTTCTCTAATATTTCTTCTTCAGCTTGAACCTAAAACCAGAATTGTCTTAAGTGGACTTAATGTGACCCTAAGTTTTAGATATATCAATTAAAAATTTAAGTAGTGATTTCAAAAATATCATGATTTCATATCTTTAAGTCCTCAGCCTTATAGTAAAAATAAGCAAAATGAAGTTCCTGGAAAGCAATAAAAGTCAGAAAGCAAGATGCTACTGCAACCTGTCTAGAAATCCTTAAGAGCCTGTAACACAAAAAATAACTGTTAACTAAATGTGACAGTGTTCTAGCCACACATGAATAAGATAAGCAACTCAAACAGGGATTCTGTACCCAGTTTAGTAAAGGGTAACATTACATTAGTATTCAGTGCAAATGTTCCAGAAGTCACTTTTGAAATTTTAGCTGCAAAATACCCCATTGAAATAAAATCCCCAAAAAGAAAACATGAAATTCAAGCATCTACTTAGAGAAAGAGAAATGAAAAACTGCAAAGATATGCTCCATTTCCTGTTATCATTTGTTGTATCTACCCAAATATAAGGCACTACTCAGCAGTCAGAAATTGATAATCCTAAAGGAAGTGTGAAAAACCTGTCTTTTATATTTTATCCTGTCTTCCTAAGAATATTCCTCTTACCTAAGTATTCGTCCCCCTATAGATCACATTATTAAAAATTCCTTCTGTTATTCTATTCCCCCAGGACCTTCTCTAAGGTTTTCAAAAACTGATCTGATTAATTCACACTTAAAATTTCAGTATCTAAGCAGGCATGGTGGTGCACACTTGTAATCCCAGCACTCAGGAGGCTAAGGCAGGAGGATCACTGTGAGTCCAAGGCTAGCCTGGACTACAGAGTGACTTCAAGGCCAGCCTGGATGACATAATAAACAAAAAGAAAAAAAAATACAAAGATTTCAGAGACCTAAGTTTTTATACTGGTGAATATTTAGTTTTCTTGCAAAGGAATGGCAAACAAAAATCTTCCTTAACTTCAGTATATAATATTGTTGATAACATCTCCTCTAAATGCATATTCTTTAGCTGTCATAATGCTATTACATTGGATTCTGACCATTTTGATTTTCACTAATTTTATTAATTGGTCATTTTTTGTACTCTTTTCTTTTCATATATTCCCTTTCAAAACCTGGAAATTTTTCTCCCTTGTACAGCTGTGTTATGAGAAGCACTGACCCAAGTCTCTAAAATCTCTCCCATTACGCTCTATGGACTTGGCTTTTTTCCTTATACTTTCCTGATTCTCTTAGCTTTTTGGTTACTTCTTAACATATTTCAAAAGCTAATGTATCTGTTTATTATCTTCCAGACTTGTATCTTTCATTCTTTTCTCAATCTATATAAACATCTCTGTTAATGTCCAAGACTTCTATCACTAAAATATTGTCAATGCTAAATCTGAAGCTCTAGTTCAGATTTCAAGGTCTTAGACCTAGATATACAGTTGCTTACATCTGGATAACCTATATCTGGATAGCCTAAAGACATTGCAAAATAGAATTCATCTTTGTTTTCAAATTATCTATTTGGATTCCTGATGAAATTATCCATTGGTCACTGAAGCCAGCAACTTAAAGATACTAATACTTTTCTCTTTCTCTCACTGCCTGCTTCTAATCTATTCAAGTGGTCCTCAGATCCCACTGATTCTTCAGCTTTAACATCTTCTCCTATCTATAGACTTAGATTCATTATCTTCACTATATCTTGCGTGGTATTTGAGTATCCTTGACTTGTGTCTCATCTCTCTAATTCAGCTTTATAGTAATACAAGAGTGACAATCCTAAAATGTGTATGTGACCATTTCCTCATTTAACGGTATAACATCTGTTTTTAATTTAATTTAATTTTATGTTTTGGTTTTTCTGAAACAGTGTCTTGCTATGTAGTTCAGGCTTGTCTTGAACTCACTGTGATCTTTCTGCCTCAGCCTCTCAAGTGCTAGGATTACAGGCATGCACCACTATACCCGGCATAACATCATTTCTGAGATAATCTAGCAGCTCAAGTATCTCCCCACACTGTGAAGTGTTCTTTGGGCCCACTAGAATTTGGTAATGTTCCTTCATGCCACCAACAAAATCTACTACTTATTTTTACTATACTTTATTCCAAAATACTAAAATTTTATATATTCACATACATACTTGTCAGTTCTTGTTTGTGTGTGTGTTTGGTACTGAGAATTGAACTCAGGAATTGCTAGGTAGGCATGTATGATGCCAAGGTACATCCATACTTGCCAATCTTAATAGATTATGAACTCATCAAAGTAAGCTTCATGTATTATTATAGAATTTCCCAGAAATTAGCACAAGACCTGACATATAAAAAGAACTTGGTAACTGTTTAATAAGTGAACACCCTTTAGTTATCTATACTATAACTCTTACTTTTCTTATAATGAAAGGGTCTGGGTTTTTTTTTTAAACAGTTATTATGTTGCTCTATTTAATTATTATTTCAATATGAAAGTTTCCCATATTGGTATCTCTTTAATACATGTTTGTACTGAGCTCAATATGCAAATATTAAACTTGCAATGTTCCTTTGTGAAGGTTTTATTAACATACAGTATTTTTCAGAGATGTTTAACAAATGAAATAAAATTATATTCCTTGCTCTAAGAAGCAGAAGTGAGTCCCTCTTAGGTCAAGAGAGACCAAATAGAGGCTACATTAGGTACACTGTACTTATTTTCAGTAATGAAATAGGAAGAGATTTCATCATCTTCTCTGGCTCCAGCCTCTATTTACTTTTTGCTGTATTTTTTTTGTCTTTTCCCTTCTTAGATTAAAAAAAAAAGGTTTTTGCCAATAATAAAAAGATTGGTGAACATCATCCTTAGCAAATATTTTATATTCTTCATTTCACTGGATACAGTAGCAGTGTAGCCTTCTAGCTACTGAGAAGGCTAAACAAGATGACAGGAAGCTCTGCCTGGGCAACTGAACAATTCAAGGAGACTATTAAAAGAGGTAGGAATGGGGGCTGGGGATATAGCTCAGTGGCATAAGCACCTGCCTTGCAAGCAGGTGGTTGTGCGTTCAATCCTTGGTACCGATAAAAATGAAAAAGACAAAAAAAAAAAAAAAGAGGTAGGAATGCAGCTTAATGCACAGGCTCTGGGTTCAATTCCTAGTAGTGCAAAAAGTAGGGAAAATGATAACAGTACTTGCCTCATACAGCAGAACTTTTATGGGAATTTAATGAGAAAATATATGTAAGGTACTAACTTTAATGGGAAGTTGCTCTGTGTCACCTCTGTCATTATTTGGCAATCACTGGACCCTACTCTGATGCAAGGGGAGGAAACAGATTCTACTTTCACAAACTAAGAAAAGCTTGTTTTGTTAAGATAAATACAAGTATGACCATGTTGGAAAGTACAAAATACACAGTGACTGGTATATAATCTAGGGATATATATCATTGTCTTTTCAGTATTACGTATCTGTACCATCCCCTGCTTTCTTGCTCCTCCTCTGCTGCTGCTACCTCCTTCTCTTTTCCCTCTTCCCTTTTTGTACAACTAAAGATTGAACCTAGGATCTTTGCACTCACAATAACTCCAGTCCTTTTTCTTTTGGCTGGCTTTTGTTTTTTTGAGACACGGTCTCACTGTGTAATTCATATGTAGTTCACACTGGCTTAAATATATTATGTAACCCAGGCTGGCTTCAAACTTATAATTCTCCTATCTCAGTCTCCAAAGTGCTGGGATTGCAGGTGTATGCTACTAAGCCTGGCTTCCTTTTTCTATTTTTTGAGACAGGATCTAGCTAAATTACTGAGTTGTTCAGACTAAATTTTAACTTTCAGTCCTCCTCTCCTCAGCCTCCCAGAGGACTGCCCATGCCTGGTATAGTTCCTTTTTTTGTTTTTACTTTGTCCTGTACTGGTAGTGAATCCATGGTACTCTTACATGCAAGGTAAGTGTTCTACCACACAACACACTCCCATTGCTTCCTATTCATGGTTTTGTGCCTTTTTATGATCCGATTTTATATCTCTTTTACTCCTCTTTGCCAATCTGCTTTCCTTGAAATTGTACCACTTTATTCTAAATTATAATATTGTCTTTTTGCAGAAATATAAAATATGGAACACAAAAAGAAAAGATGGAAAGTTCAAAGTCAGCTTGGTCAAACACCACAAGATCCAATCTCAAAATTTATTTTAAAAATTTAATTTAGGGTTGAAAATTTAGCTCAGCGGCATAAGTGCCTGCCTGGCAAGCATGAGATCGTAAATCCAATCCCCGGTACAAAAAAAAAAAAAAAAATTAATTTAAAAACATAAATAAAATTTTTTTTATTTTTATAAGATGGTTTTTTGTCCGTTTGTCTGAATTTTTTTTTTTTTTGGAGGCAAGGTCTCACTATGCAGTCTAATCTGGCCTCAAACGCACAGCAAATCCTCTTGTCTCAGCCACCAAAAGGCTGTAATCATAGGCATGCACCACAATGCCTGGCAAGCATTCTTTATTTCGATGATTTTGTTACAAACAAAATCAAAAAATTAATCTTTAACCATAAATATATTCTACTTATGTCTATATTTATTTTACGATATAGACTTTAATAAAAAAAAACCCATTGATTTTGTACAATTGTCTCTTACCTTTTCCAGTTTTTCCGCCACTTTTTCTTTATATTGTTGGAAAGCTTTACTCAGCTCTTCAGCATTATATAGTGCTTCATTTCTTTGTCGTTCAGCTCTAAAATTTAAAAACAATAAATAAAAGCATGCTCTGCATTTGGATAGTTAAGTTTCAAAGTAATCTTTTTTTTTTTTTTTTGGTCTTTTTCATTTTTATCGGTACCAGGGATCGAACTTACGACTGCCTGCTTGCAAGGCAGGCGCTTATGCCGCTGAGCTAAATCCCCAGCCCCAGTAATCTTTAATTATAAGAAATCATTAGAAAAAAGTAGATTTCTTTGTACTAAAAAGTGGACAGTATGATTAAAGTATGGTATGTGAATTAAAAAAATCTGCAAAAACAAAATCTATTAAACTGTACAATCAATATGCACTAATAAAAAATGCGAAATAAGAGAGTATTAGGTTTATACTAGAAAGCGAAGAATGGAGATCATACTACAATAATTTCTAACTCTACCAAATAAAAATATAACTCAGAACACTTAAATATATGATCTCTGAAACATACATAAATTCCCATGTGTTGGCAATTTTCCCTTAATCTGGAAAAGCTAAACTAGGGAAGCAACTTGATGAAGGTTCAAAGGTTAAGTATTACAGAATAAGTTTACTATCTAGAACATTAAAAAGATACTCAGTAAATTCTGTGATCTGGACAAAAGTCAAACAAATTTTTAGAAAGATATTTTAAAAAACACAACAATGGCTTCTACTGATACAACGGAAAAATCCAACTATTATCAAGCAATACTTAAGCCCAGCCATGTTCCATTACTTCTTAGTTGACCCTAGCCTTTCCTCATACTTCTCGAATTTAACTGAGACCAATGAGCAGGAACTTTGTCAGTTATCACAGAGATATCTGAGATCTTTTTTACATATATAAAGTTATCATAGTATTCTTTCTAGTTTAAGTAAAATTCATGATTGTTATGGCTTCTATATCATGTCTCCCTAAAGCCTCATGAATGCATAGGTGGGCTTTGGGAGGTGGCTGGATCATGGATTGTGAAACATTGGGATTAAAGAAGTGTTACTGGATCAGTTCTCTAATTCGTTTAGCATAGTTCTAGGTATGGCTGAATGGATTTCCTGAAGAAGGAAACCCCACCCTGGGTGTGAATGGCACCAACCGAAAGGATTGGTTCCAGAATGGAATAAAAGAGAAAGGGATGCTTGCTGATACTGTTTCCTGCTTACACTGCTATGGACTGTTTCTCTTCTGCCATGGCCCTCTGCCAAGTCACTGTGCTCAAAGCCAGCCAACCATGGACTGAAACCTCTACAAACTCTGAACCTAAATAAACTTTCCCTACTTTAGTTTATGAGTGTTGAGTATTTTGTTCCAGCAACAAGCAAGAAACCAAGACAATGGCCCTTCTCTTAAGCAAGGTAAATAATTCAGTATATACTCTGTACTATAACTCTTCCCCTTCAGAAATATATCCTATATTATGTATTTTTTAGTATCTTTTCTATTGCTTTTTTTAGCCCAATTTATAGCAACAAATTCAAGTGAAAGTATACATTTCCTGAATCACTGTGATTCTTTCTTAATTTGGATAGCAACAGTGCATATTAGGAACATCTATAATAAGGGGTTTTTCTAAAAATCTCTAAGGATATACCTTCACAGATTGTTGAATTTATACAGCTAGAGTTAACCATAAAGAACACTTAAGGAAAGACTTCTGGGAAGATGGTGGAGCAGAAAACAGCAAAGAAAACAGTGTCTGTGAGTCACCATCCAGACACTGAAATATAGCATCATGAGGAAGACAAGCAGGAAGGAAGTAGGTCCACTGGACCCAGGAAAATCTAAAGTATGAACTGAAGCCCATAGAGGGAGAGTAAAAAGAAAAACTTCAACAAAGAAAAAGGCGGCAGCTGCTGGCACTTTCTCCGATATAAGACTCACTATAGGAGAGGAGTTTTTCAAACCTGGGGAACACAGTCACAGTGACAGTGATGGCTAGCAACTCCAGAGGCCTCTGCAGAGAGACACTGCAGTGGATAGGTGCAGTGGACTTAGAGGACTGCACTGGCTGGTGGTGAGTGCAGAGGACTTAGTCCTCCCATGGGGAGAGAATGATTAGCCAGGAGCCATTTTGGAGACAGGTCAGATAAACCCAGAACCCAGGATTGCTGCCAGCTTTCTCTAGCAGCTCTTTGCTGAGCACAGATCCATGGAAACTGCTTGAACTGCAGCAAGCCCAATGAGTCTGGTTTTAGGGCGGGCCTGCTCAGGTTATCCATTACTCTGCCATAAAGTAACTGCTGGCTTGCTGGGACAGATTGGCACAATTTGGGATTCTGTCTCCATAGGCTGTCTATTAGGGAAACCAGAGAGAATCCTGGAAGTAGACTATTTCTTTTTCTTTTACATTTTTTTGTTAGTTTGTTTTTGTTGTTTTTTAATCTTTCTCCTTCATTGTTTATATATGAGTGTGAAAGTGGTTCCTGACCTCTTGTGGGTGTGGTTCTGTTCTGTTCATCCTTTTATCTCTTCCCTTTCCTCTCTCTTCCTTCAGTCTTATGCACCAGTTTCCTCAAGTTGGCATGATCCCCTCTGTCCTCCAATCTTACTTCTAATCTCTTTCTGTTCTTCTACTTCTCTATTTTCTCCTTAATGTATTTTACATTTTAACCTCCAGGGCAAAACTGACACATTATGGACTTTATATTGCAATAATTATCTGGTTTGTTTTACATTCTGTTATATAATCACAAATCTAGTTCATACAGTTAAAAGTTACAAATAAAAAGTTAGCTCTAGGCTGTATTTCATGTTACCAGTATCACTATAGCCAAAACTGACATAATTGTTCTAAAAAGCTGTTGGTCTTGATAATCCATGACTGAGATTAACTAAGGGTCACAGAAAATACAGTGGCACAGCACCAAAGAACCAGGGACTAGGCCAAACAAGAACAACTTTTTATTTCCAACAAACTAAAGAGGTAAGATATTCCAACAGACTCAAAATCCAAAAACCAGATGCACCTGGAAGATACCTCAGAAAAGTAATCATCACTTACGGGTCTTAAATACTACTAATAAAGCAACTCACGATAGGCAATTTACAAGCATCACCCCAGGAATTAAACTAAAAAAAAGAAACACAATAAAATGAGAAGACAAGAAAAAGGCAACATTAGACATCCAGTTCACCAAAGGTAAACTGAGTGGGCAATGAGATGGGACAATTCGAAAGCCCCCACCAAGTTTCTCTCAAGTGGTAACTACAAAGAAACTGAATGAGGCTCTGGGAAAAATGAAATCAGAAATAATCTTTCAAAATGACAGAGATTACCAAAATGCACAGAATGCTTAGCAATATTAGAGCAGACAAAGACAAAAATATAGGCAAGCTTAAACAAATTATGTAAGCTCAAAATAGAAAAGAAATGAAATCCATAAAGCAGATTCAAGCAGATATCCAGGAAAATAAAAACTCCATTGAAAATATTCTAAGCAGTTTAGGCCAAAGTGAGAACATAATCTCAGATATTGAAGACAGGCTTGTAGTAAGTGAACAAGAAATGAAAGATTTCTCAAAAATAGCAAGGGACCATGAGAAATCAATCCAGTAGCTTCTAGATGCAACAAAGAATAATAATTTAAGATTAATTGGAGTCAATGAACAAACTAGAGATACCACAAATGACATTTAAAAATGTTCACAGACATCATGACAGAAAACTTTACTGGCAGAGAAAAAGAATTTGACATACAGATAAATGAGGCAGACAGAACTGTAGGTGATGCTTTAGCAATGACTAAAAAAAAAAAAACAAAAAAACCCAGACATATGATAGTCAAGATTCAGAATTCAACACAAGAATAGAATCTTAAAAGCTATTAGAGAAGAGAAACAAATTACTTATAAAGGAAAGCTCATAAGAATAACAGCTGACTTCTCAGCATAAACTCTCAAGTCAAGGAGAGCTTGGAGGAAAGTACTCCAAGTTCTACAGGAAAACAACTTTATCCCAGACTGATGTACCCCACAAAACTATCTTTCAAAATTGATGGTGAAAAAAAATCTGAGGAACATCTGGAGGAAATTTATGCCCACTAAACTAGCACTCCAAAATGTTCTGAGAACATTTTGAAACATATAGAAAGAGAAAATAAGGAGTATAGCTCCATGAACCCCAACAGATAGAATCCACCAGGGAAGGCAAACAATTAGAAGGAAAGAAAGAAAGGGAGGAGCCAACAACAGGAAAATAACATGACAAGGATAAGTCAATATTTACCAGTTATAACCATCAATGTTAAGATCTCAGTTCACCAGTCAAGAGACACAGACTGGCAGAATGGATCAAGAATCAAGACCCAACAACATGCTGAATATAGGAAACACATTTAATTCAAAAAGAAATTCACTGGCTGAAAATCAGAAGATGGAAAATAATACTCCATGTGACAAGAACCCAGAAAAAAGCACCTGTTCTATTTGCAGACAAAGTGAATTTCAAGCCAAGACTGATTAAGAGAGATAAAAGAAGGTCACTACATCCTCATAAAGGGAACAAGCTAAGAGGAAGCTATAACAATCATAAATACATATATGCAACAAATACCAGTGCACCCAACTATATAAAACAATTATTAATGGACATGAAAAATCAAATAAGCACTAATACAATTGTATTAGGAAATCTCAATATCCTACTGTCACAAAAAGACAGAGTAGACAAAATATTAGTAATGAAATACTAGAACTAAATCAAACTTTTGAACAAATGGAACTAGGAGGTGTCTGGAATGGTCCACCCCACAACGTAAGAATACATATTCTTCTCAGCTGCACACAGGACATTGTCCAAAATAGACCACATACTGGCTCTTGGAACATGCTTAAACAGATGCAAAGAAATTGAGTTTTCCCATGCATACTATCAGACCACAGTGCAAAGAACAGGAATCCATGCCAAAGCAATCCACAAGAACTTCATAAACACATGGAAATTACTGAACAACCAATAGGTCACAGATGAAATTAAAGAGAAAAATTAGACAGTTTTTAACAATCGAATGATAACAACA